AGAAGAAACCAAAAGAAATTCCTAGAACAAGAGGTCCAATTTGTGTTTGCCAGAGAGGGGAGGGGGTGGGAATTGGAGGAAGGGGTCGTCTGGGGCTGGGGGTGCGCCGTGCTGAGCTGTGTGACGCACAGGAGGGTTGAGAAGAGACTGAGTCCTGAGGCTTCCCATCACAAGGAGAGTGTGTTCTTCTTTCTTTCTTCTTTCTTTTCCTTTAATTGTATCCTTATGGGAGGACGGATATTAGCTGAGTCTACTGTGGGAACCGTGTCGGCAGACGTAAGCCGGAGCTCGCTGCTCCTCGCCTTCAGCTTCCGCAGTGACGGCGCCGCCGGTTCCTCAGGAGAACTGGGGGGACCAGAGCTGAGGGAAGAGATTCGGATACGGAGTTGCTCCTCAATTTCCAAGTCACAGACTGATACGTATCTGTTCTTAAAAGTCGCTGTGTTCCCCTGTAGATGACTGTCTGTCTGTGTGTGTGTAGTGTCCCCGTTTTTTCATTTTGTGAAGCACAGATATTTGAAATACCTTTTCTCTGAAAGTGAGCCAGGAACCAAGAAAGTGTTATTTTAAACCTCAGGACTGTCATGATTGATCTTCTGAGTTTATATTCATGTTTTAATTATATTGATATTAGAGCATTTATCTTGCTTTTTGAAAGCACATTTGTCTAACCTCATTATTTATTTTACATGTTATATGTGATATATAATGTGTTGTTTGTCATCATTTTCTTATTTCGTTGTATTTGCATTTTCTTACTATTGACAATATATGAACGCTCTTCTAAGATTTAAATATATTTTCCCCAAGTGATGTAACAAGATAAAGCTTTTTCCTCTATCATAGGAGGAATTTAGAAAGGTTCTTTTTTTATGATTTTATGTATGTTTGTATGTATGTATGTATTCAGAGAGCAAGGGAGGGGAGAGAGGAAGGAGAGTCTCAAGCAGATCTCACGCTGAGCGCAGAGCGTGACGCAGGGCTTGGTCTTGACCCCGAGATCATGGACCTGAGCCAAAACCAGGAGTCAGAATTGACCGACTGAGCCACCCAGGTGTCCTGGAATTTTAGGAAGTTTTAAGGACATTTCCAGTTTGTTTTTGAAACACAAGATTAACCAACTGGAATTTATTCGTGCCTTTCTTTGAGATTAGTAGTTTCCTTATATATAGAGACTGATGGTCTAGTAGGAACGACATGTTACTACTAAGACTGTAGCACATTTACGTGTGTTTAGTTCACCCTTCATTTTGTTTTTTCTTCAAAGATTGAGACCTGGTAATTAGCCTAACTATATAACAGAACTTTATATTTGTAAAATCACTGGAAGTGACAAAGCATCTGAAAAATGAGGTCTGTCATTTCACTGCTCTACTAGCTCCAAGTGGGGGACCCCCGCCCCACTTGTGAAGGGCTCCGGACCGTTTAGGGCCCTGTTTCTAAGTGTATCTGCCGGGACAGCACCCTAGAGCTGGTAGCCCCTGGCTCGGGGGATCACCAAGGTAAGCAGCTGTGTAGACCTGCTGTGTACCGCAGCGCGGTGGCAGAGCACAGCTCCGCGTAGTGAGCCGGACACACCGGTCTAGGGGAGCTCCTTGCGGAGGTCGGCAGGATGATGAGCATGGGGTCCCATGTGCTGACTGGGGAGGGCCGTAGACGCGTATGCGTAGGCAGCCTGACCAGAACAGTGCGTGTGCTCGATCACACCTGTGATTGTCCAGAAGAAGCTCTTTCGTTAGCGTGCGCGCAGCTGGTGGTGGCGATCATCTCCGAGCGCAGCTTCCCCGGTGTTTCTTCTTATGCTTCCTAAGTACTTGAGACGGCACCGGAGCGCTCACTGGCTGCGTGAGAGTGGGACACAGGGACCCGGCTCCTGCCGCTGCAGGCAGGATTGGGAAGGAAGTGACGGCAGATCGGGAGACCCAAGCCGGGCTCAGGCGCAAGGCTTGGACTGCTCAGCCCCGAGCAGAACAGTTACCGGAAGTGAGTTCCAGCTTCCAGGGACTCAGTGTTGACCTAGACGCCCTGGTATGGAAAAGAAATGATGAGCTAGACATTCTGTGAAGCGGTTTATGATGGAGAACGTGGGTTCCAGAAGGCACGGGAGAAAGAGTTGTGTGCTTGGGGGGCTGCTGCAGAGGTAGGTGGCTGGAGGGGGACCCTGTGTAGAGCAGACGTGTCCTGCAGAGTGGGCCTCCGAGGGGCCGGGAGCTGTGAGGGCCGGGCGGACAGCCAGCCAGAGTGCCCGCGGTCAGATTCGGGCGTCCGGCTGCTCAGCAAAGGCCGACGTTGTGGGCTGGCAGCGCGGGCTGTCTGTCCAGTGGAGCGGGATCGGGGCCAGGCCTGACCGCTCCTGCGAAACCGCAGGCTTACCAGCAAGTGAGCCTTGTACCTGCTGGGCAGGGCTCCAGGAGGACATTCACCTGACGTCCAGACTCCGTGGACTGATGTCAGGTCTGACTCGTTGGTAACCTTGGGAGCAGCATCTCCGTGCCCCTCCTTGTGAGGCCGGGTCTTTTCTGGTGGGCAAAATGGCAAAAGCACTAGTTTCTTTTCCTATTTGTGAAGTGTCTTTTTCCCCAATAAAATAGATACAAGACAACCACTGGAGGACCTTGACTTTTTTCAAAATTACTTTGAATTTCATTTATTTTACCTATTTCTAGAAATTTAATGGCATTTATAGAACTAGTTGCTTAAAATTATTTCACTTTATTTTTCTTTCTTATTGCTTTTTAATGTATGTATTATCTAATAAAGTACAGAAAATTAGTTTCTCAAATTTGTATATTTGTACAGTTCATTTTAGTGGTGGACTGAGTTTAAAAATTTTCTTGATTGGTGGTTTTCATAGGAACCACTCATTTCAGGGGTGCCTGGGTGGCTTGGTTGGTTGAGCATCTGACTCTTGGTTCGGCTCAGGTCTTGAGGTCAGGGTCCTGGGATCGAGCCCGCAATGGACTCCACACTCTGTGGAGTCTGCTTGGAAAAAAAAAAAAAAAATTAAAAAGGAAAACGAATCCATTCTCTTGAGTTCAATAAGGAGCAAAAAAATGGATTATCAGCTACTATTGATTTGGAGTTTATAATTGTAATTAAGTGGTACTTATATGCTAATAGTTACTGAGCCTGTTTGCATAAGATCCCAAATCATTGGGGCTACGGGTTGCTGTTGAGCTTTTCCCAAGAGACCTCCTGTGTAAGCTCTGAGTGTCGCGGCTTCCCCAGCGGACCCAGACCTGACACGTCCCTCTTCTCAGTTGCCCTTTGGGAGAATATTCACGTGAGCTTCCCGTTCTCTTCGCTGAATTTCCTGGGTCGTTTTATCTGTCCTCCTCGACAGGTGTCATGGGCTCAAGGCTGTGTCCCTGGGACAGGTCCCGTGCTCACATCACAGCCAGGGGAGTGGGGAAAAGAGTTGGGAGAAGGAGCAGTGACAAGTGCTGGGTCTGCTCAGAAAACAGCGAGAGCGTAGGGTCGAGAGGGACACGTGAAGGGTGCGCGGGTGGACATGGAGGGCGAGCCAGCGCTGGAATGCCGAGCTGAGCAGTCGTGGGCATGACATACTTGGTAGGAAGCCATTGAAGGCATGTGAGCCCGTTGCTTCCTTCAGCGACAGGAGAAGGTTGAGCAGAACAGAGATTTGGAGGATCGCCTTGTGGGGTTTGTCTCCATAGGATCAGTATGTGGTCCTGGGAAAGGCGAGTGGGAGCCGACTGGCCAGGAAACGGCCGGGAGCACAGAACAGCGTCAGAGCTGCTGGACAGGGAGCATCTCCGAATGGCCCTGATTCGGCTCCACGGGTCCGGGACACTTGAGAAGTGGGAAAAGTCGTGGCAGCTTAAGGGCTCGTGCTGTGGGGATTGAACACAGATCACAAGGGAGGGCTCTGAGTTCCCTTTGAAAACTGCATGGGCTTCTGACGCAAGTGTTAGGACGGAGTCTGGTTGAGGAGTGATGGGGCTTAGCGGAGCCGCTGAGTTCTCTCCGGCTCTGGTATTTTTTTCTGCGTGGTTTGAGATTCAGGGCAGCAGAATAGAAATGGGGAAACAGGTTTACGAGGCATTGGAGAAGTAGGATCCCCAGGACTGGCCGGTGATTTAACCAGACAGGGAAGGGAGTTCTCAGAAACTCTGAAATACCTGACCCGTAGGACCAGGGGGAGGGGCGCTTCTCATGTACAGGGAGTTGGTGGGGGAAGTAACTTAAAAGGTGTCTGCCGAGAGGCCTCGCATGGGAGTTACTGGCACAGTGACGGGAGCAGGGAGGTTGGGGGCCAGGCCCAGGTCCTGGCGGGCAGCTGTGCCGTCCCGGGGAAAGGAGGAGCAGCCCAGGGGAAGCTGACCGTGAAAGTCCTCCTCTTCATGTTCCAGGGGATGTGAGGTGATTCCAAAGGCTCAGGTGTGTTTGTCCGGAATTGCATATTTAACTCGAGCTTGATGAAGATGTGTTATTACGTAGTCAACCCTAAGGGTTCTTCCTTTACCGAAAGTATGTCAAGCCTGAAATACTTAAGTTAGCAGTTTTGCTATCCACAGATAACCCTTTAATAACATTTCTATGAAAATGCTGACTTGTTTTTAGAACAAAAGATCATGTTAGAGTCATGTGTTTTGAGTTTACTGCAGTAGTTAGGACGCAGTCTCCACGCTGAACAACAAGGGCTTGAGTGTCCCGATTAACCTACATTTGGGACATAGTTTCTTTAGGTTCCATGCCAACAGACGTAGGAATCCATTAAAAATTGGTTCTAGAGCCAAAGGAAATAACTGTGATGCGCAGATCATCCTTATGTTGGAAAATACCTGTCTTCCATTAACTTTGTGTTTCCCAATCGACTTTTTTCTAACACAGTTAAGATAGCTCTAAGTGGCAACGCTGGACTCTATACTTGAACTCCTCAAAATTTTCGTCTTCTGGGGAAAGCAGATGCTTTTTGACGTTTAACTTTTTTAGTAGCATTAACAGTGAATTATTCCTGATTTTCTTTTGGTTTGTAGGTCTTATCCAGCCCATTCCAAGAAACCAGTTTTTTCAAAGTTATTTTAATAATAATTTTGTAAACGAAGCAGATAGACCGTACAAGTGTTTTTACTGTCATCGTGCATATAAAAAATCTTGCCACCTTAAACAACACATCAGGTAAGGTAACAGATTTGGAAATGGAAATGTAGAGGAAATGCAGTGATGTCGGGAGCCGGTGATGCGGAGAGGTAGTGAGGAGGGTAGTGTCAGCTTTGGGTATTTAAAATGTTGCACTTGACCCCAAAATATTTATCGGTGATGGATATCTTCATTTTTAGTGCCTCAACTAAAGTATGTGGCCCCGAAATTGTCTCTGAGTTTCACTGGCACTCCTTTACATTTCAGCGTTTGCAACATCTAGGACATGCCAGACAGTACTTGGTCTGTCGTGTTACAATTACATACTTGAGCAGATTTTCACGTGTGTTGATCTGTGTTTAGACTAATGCTTGGTGCTAGCGACAGTGAAGTGAGGAGGGACGGACGAGGGACGGGGAAATGTCATGCCGATGTGTAGCGCTTAGGGGCCTCCGCTCTGTGCCTCCTGTGTGGCCTCGGGCAAGTCACCCGAGCTCTCTGGATTTCGGGTTTCTCAGTGCTTAGCTTTAAAAAGTGGTGCTCAAGTGAAAGAATGTACGAGTTCTCTCTAGAGTATAAAGCGTTATAAAGTTGTAAGAAGCTTATTCATGAAAATTTTTATTCTTTTTAGATCACATACAGGTGAAAAGCCTTTTAAATGTTCTCAGTGTGGAAGAGGCTTTGTTTCTGCAGGAGTGCTCAAAGCACACGTCCGAACGCACACTGGACTAAAATCTTTCAAGTGTCTGATATGTAACGGAGCTTTCACTACTGGTGGGAGCTTACGGCGACATATGGGTATCCATAATGACCTTCGTCCCTATATGTGTCCCTATTGCCAGAAAACATTTAAGACCTCACTAAATTGCAAAAAGCACATGAAAACCCATAGGTAGGTATAATTCTGATGGTCACTTTTTAGTAATCTCTAACTCCCAGATAGTGGTGGAGGGTGTTTTTAAGAAATAATTGTCTTTGATTCCTGTAGTATTATGTGGAGCTTCAGGTGCATGGGCTGAAGAAACTTTGATCGTTGTCTGAGGCTCTGTGAAGAGCCACGACTGAAACGTTAATGCTTTTATTTTTAATGGGATATTGAGGTAGTCTGTGTTGGGCCAAATGCTGTGTGTGAGCTCTCTAAAAACAGGCAGTAGTAGCTACCATGCCCCCTAGACTGTGGCTGATGCTGTCATCCGGTCGTGAGGATGGCAGAGGGGAGAACCGTCATCAGCCAGCCTGGTGACCGCTGGGCATGTTGCCCGTGGATCTGCACGGTCACAGTTCTGTGTTGCTGACTTAAAAGGAACAAATGTTTTCGTTACCACGTAAATCCATCATTTGTGCTTGGTTAAAGGGCTGTCCCATCTCCAGATGGAGGTGAGCCAAGAGGCCCTCGCAGCAACGCCTTTCTGGCTGTGTCTGGAGCTCCCTCCCGGGTGTTTCTGGGACGCCACGGTGGTCTGTGTGGTAGTGGAAGCCTGGATAAGGCCACCACACCCCGGGAGACTTTGAAAGGAAGAGTCACTAGGTCCACCGTCAAAGAATATTAACCTTCTGCTCCAGAATACTCACTTCCAGGCACTGCTGTAACCCAGGTATCTCTGCCTGGTGTTACTGACAAAACCACACCCCAGAGTGGCAGGATGAGCTACCGCTGGGCAGGGTTTGGTGCTGTCCCTCCAGGTGCCCAAGCGCACGGATGCCTAAGCACGTAGGACAAAGAATTGTCTTCTTTGATTTTAGCTGATTACTTAGCTGAGGAGTTTAAGTGCTGGAATATGCTGGTGCCGGCGTGGGGGCCGCTCGCCAATTCTCCATCCAGCTTATGCTTTCCCGCATCTTACAGAGGAAATGATGGGCTTCACGTGCATTTGAGCTGGGGAGCTCGTGGTGCCTAGATGTTCACGGCCCTGTGCTCATTGCTTGCTGTACCAGGTGCCCGAGAGCCGTACGTGCTGGGAGGGATAGAGCTTAGACAGGACCTGGCCCGATGGCACACGAAGAAGACTTTTTCTCTGTCCGAAATTCAGGCCTTTTTAAGTCCACGCACCCGCCGAGGTGGTGTGGGACTGCCCCCACAGGCCTTGTTGATGGACTTGACGGCCGGGGCGCCAGCTGGATTTGGCTGGGCCGCCTGTGAGACGGAGTGTTACTGGCCGCTGCTCGTCACGGCGTATGCTGAGGGACACATGGCACAGTTACTCTAGGAGACGAGTGTGTGACTTGAGCTGACAGCGTAAATACTGGTGGGTCTGGCGTGTTGCAGAGCTGGTGGTCTCCTCCTACAGAGCGATGGACTGTGGTCCCATCTGCAGGCAGCGGGGAACACCCCTGTTCCATCTCTTCTTTGGAAGGGCTGGGAATCCCTAAAATACCATACATACTGATACTACAAATAAGCACAAAAGGTAAAAGTATAGAAATAGTGAAAGTATAGAAAGTAGTAGCAGTGCAGAGAAGTTACCATGCAAGGCGCCCTTGCTGCCCTGTGGGGGGCCGTGGGGGAGCCCAGGGTGACGGGCACTGCTGACTCCAGGGGACACCGTGTCCGTGTTCATACCTGGTGTTTCTACTACATTTGTCCCCCTTCCTCAGTAAAAGTAGCTGAGAGGTGACTGTTTCTGACACTAGAAAATGAAGATGAAAGCTTTTGTTTGGAATTAAGAATGGCGTTCTAGGTGGGCAGATTTGTAAGGTTCTGGAATCGGGCGAGCGGTGGAGTGTGTTTGCGTCTGACCCCAGTGCCATAGAGCGGGTCCGACTGGCCATGCCCCCTCCCGAGCAGCGTGTTCGTCAGGTAATTGTGGGAGCTGCTTTGTTTAGGTTCTTTGACTCATTCACTGAATTCACTGTTTATTTTTCTCTTTGAAATATGAATTGTCAACCTTGATGGAAATGTCCTGGATGCATTTGCTGTATGCAAAGGCAATACTGACGCGGACATGCTTTCGCAGAAAATAGGAACAGCCACGTGCATGCCTCCTGGTCTGAGTTCTGTCACCCAGTAGATCGTGGCTCAGATGAGGGGTTCTGTGGCCCCAGACCGTGAGGGACAGCAGGTCGCAGGACTCTGTCCTGGTCTGCGCTCCACATTTGTTTATGATACTGAAATCGGTCCGTAGAGACTCTTATTTTGCTCAGTTCTTTTTCACTTTAACTCATTGCAGGATGAGTTTTAATTTTAATTCTGACCTGGGACAGTTTTACTTTGAGACATACAGTGTCTTTTTAATTTTCTTTTTACATCTTAAGTATTCTGGCGTGTGCTGTCCTTCACCCTCCCTTTGCTGCTTTCGTGCCCCTCCGTCCGTGAAAGCCCGCAGAGTCAAGGGAACTTGATTTTTCTTCAGAATTGTTAATAGCGTTTCATTTCAACTGGATTGCCGCCCCGGCTCCAAAATGAAATGCTTTTCTGGAATGTTGTCTAATGATGGGCGGCTGGCACCACAGTTCTTCGTGGACGTGGGTTTTGACAGCACCTAACCGTGCGGATTGTCGTTGATGTTTTGAAGATACGAGCTCGCCCAGCAGCTCCAGCAGCACCAGCAAGCCGCCTCGCTGGACGACGGCGCCGGGGACCAGCCGAGCGTGCACGTCTCGACGCACATGCAGGTGGGGATGGAGAGCGAGCAGCTGCGGGAGGCGGCCGGCCCCGCCCACCCCGAGGCCATGCTGGACCTGGAGCCGCAGCAGGTGGTGCGCACGGAGGACGCGGGCCTGGGTCAGCCACTGACGCACCAGCCCCTGGAAGCTGATGAAGGCAAATATCTCTCCAGTCCTTGCTCTAGAACAGTCCGCGTGGCTGTGCAGCCGATTATGCTCACGCCGGTCTGTCTGGGTGTCTCTCGTCTCTGACTGTCTGAGTCCCCATTGGTTGTGTGTCCACCTGAGAGGGAGTTTGCTGGGATGGGGAGTTACAGACACAGGACCTCCTGCATGTCCTGTGTCGAGAATAGCTTCCGTTCCAGCCAGCCTCCGTCTGTCCGTAACCGCGCCGAGCGGGGCTGCGAGCCGGTGTGCCCGGCCCGCACCATCCTGCCGCTGCTGTCCTCGTCGGCGGAGTCTGGCTGCAGAGGTGCCCATCCCACTGTAGACAGTGAGCGTGGGGACCTGGCTGAGGCGCATCCACGCAGGCCGCCTGTCGCCCCGGGCAGGCCTGCTCACAGACCGTGGGCCGGCCGGCTACGTCTGCTGGTACGGAAGGCCCACGTGTGCGTAGGCCTGAGTGAGGTTGGGTGCTTTCTGTCCGCTGCATTGCCTGGAGCGGTGCCCACCCCAGATGGTACTGGATAGTCCTTGAGTGTCCTCGGACTCAGGGCATCTCCCTGGAGAGCATGTCTGAGTTTGAGGCTAGACCGTGAAGTGGGGTGTTCTGGAAGTACAAACATCATGCCTCCACTCTACCCGGTGTGTGAACTGTGTGTGCATAAATTAGATGCACTGTGCATACTACTTACCTATATATAAAGTTACATATTTATACAAACATATGCAAATACATACTGTAGATGTAAATACGTAAGTGCTTATATGTTGATGAACATATGACTTACAGAATATATAGTTAATAACTTGTAAATGTACACACAGCATATATATATTGTACTATATGTATATGTCTGCCCTACCCTCTTCCGAGTAAGGAGGCTAACTCTTGGAAACTCGAGAGTCCCACGTGGGCAGACTGAGTGGGTAACTGCAAGTACCTTGGAGTGTGTGAATCCCCATCCGTCCTTGTTTCTGTCTCAGACAGGTTCGTGGCTCCGCCGCCCACCCTCCCGGCACACATGGACCAGTTTGAAGAGCCAGCCCCTCCGCAGCAGTCCTTCGAGCCGGCCGGCCTTTCGCAGGGTCAGTGGCGGGTCCCGCAGGGGCGTCGCGGGGCCATCCCCGAGTCGGGGGCCTTCTACGGCAGGCCCCTCTGCAGTGTTTGGTCTCCAGTCCCATAACCTTCCGCACGGGCTGCGTGTGTGTGTGCGCGTGGGCTGTGTGGGGTCTGCTCAGGGTGTCTGGAAAGCCCCTTTGATGACCATTCTGCACATAGTTTGTGGCCGAGAAACGGTGACCGGTGGAGGTCAGGACGGTGGGGTCGCCATGTGGACGGCTCGTCTGTGAGCCTGTGACCGTCCGGGGTGAGTGCTGGGCACGGGCTCCTGCCCACGAGCAGATGTTCTTAGAGCCTGCTGCGAGGGCTAACCCCCCGCAGAAGGTAGCAGTCTTTATTTGTAAAAGCAGCTTTTTTGGCATTTTCTTGGCTTGACTATAGTATTTCTTGCCGAGCTTGTGTTTTTTCTGATTTGTTCTAGGCTTTACCGTGACGGACACGTACGGCCAGCAGCCCCCGTTTGCCCCCGTCCAGCAGCTCCAGGACTCCAGCACGCTGGAATCTCAGGCCCTCTCCACCAGCTTCCACCAGCAGAACCTACTGCAGGTCCCCAGCTCTGATGCGATGAGTGTCGTGAGTGTCCACGGAAGGGGCACGTGGCCGTGGTGGGCTTATTCTGTTCTCGCCTGCTCCGTCCTGCGCAGGCCTGGCTCACCTCGGAGGGCATGCTCACTTCTCGCGGCCACGTGACTGCATCCGCTGGGAGGCTGACATGCTCACGTACACGTCTTTTCCCGTCAGACGTTACGTTTTACTTAGAGATTTCAGTCCCATGAGGAGGGATTTTACCTTTGGGTTAAAAGTCAGGAAAGTGCTCTGTAATCACATGTGGAGGGTATCACGTGGCTTTAGTGACACGACCTGAGTGTTTTTATTGGTGGAATCTGAAATGTGGAACCTTACACCTTAGAACGGAAATACAAGGGATGCTGGCATACAAAAAATGAGTATTTAAACACGTGATTTAAAATTTCTACTCAGTCTAGTTGGAGACATTTAAGTTTTGGTTTTGGTTTTGATTTTCCCATTTTGAGAGAGTTTTCACGAGTAGGGAAATGATGGGCGCATCGGTTGTTTTCTTTCTTTACGAGCCGCCGTTGGGAGAGAACAGGGCCGGTGCCGGAGCTTCTCCGAGGGATAGGCCCGACCCTCAGTGAACTTTCCAGAGCACTTCTCTTAGCATAGAAACCACACAATTCTGGTGCTGAAGGCGGGTGGAGTCTCGGCAGTGGCAGCATGCCGTTTCGTGGTGGCTGCCCTGCGCCCCAGAGCCCCCTGAGGCTGGCTGCCCACCCAGTGCTTAGAGTGGAGTGGGACCCTCAACTTCACTCACCGATGTCAGGGGAGCAGACGTCGCACATGGGCGGGCTCTCCGCCGTTCAGTCCTGGGCATGTCGTGCGTGCCCTGAAGGTCAGCTTCCCTCTGTCCAGTGAGCATCCGTGTCCTCTCCCGCTGTGGTCGCCGGCTCGCTGCACCTGCGTCGGGAAGGTGTGGTACTGACGGGCCCTTGCTCCCGGCGGAGACAACGTGTTTTTTCTCCCCGTGGTTGTGTGACAAGCGACGCAGTAGGACCGTGTTCGCTCTCAGTAAGAGGAGAGCGGCTGAGGGGTCACTTACTCAGATCTCTAAAAAGTACGGAGAGTTCCGGTTCATGCTTGGCCAAGGTTTGTGTTCAAACAAATTAACGGAAAGTAAACAAGTATTTAATGACGTTGCTATGAACGACTTTTATTGTCAGTCTAGTCAAATGCTTACAGGGAGCTGCTTGGAGTTTCTCCTTTGAACCTGCGCTTGTAAATGGCTTATTCTTAGCTTTTTGTTGTTCTGCCTCTATCTGTAGACATTCAGGTCGTCTGCTTTCTACTTCTGCTAAATTTTAGACCACGCGATTGATCCAGGAGCCGTCCCAGGAGGAACTGGAGCTGCGGACTCAGCGTCCCCGATTCCTGGAGGACGGGGAGGACCAGAGCCGGCGCTCCTACAGGTAGCCGTTCGCACAGACAGCTTGACGCCGCGGGGCGCCGCTAGCCTGGCTGTACCCGGTGTGTGCGCTCCCTTCCGGGCCTGTGGGATCGTCCTCTCTCAGAAACTGTGAACGGGGCCCCCGTTATCCCCGTTTCATTGTGAGGAAAGGATCGGAGACAAAAGAGGTTCCCTTGCTAAGATTTCTGTGGCCAGTTAGGGACAGGACGAGGCTGGGAGGCTGCGGCCTGGACGTTGAGTGTGCTGTGTCGTGGCTTCCCGTCGCCACGTTCTCAGAAGTAACGGACACTCACTGTGCACCTGTTTTTCAAGGTTCCTTGTCGGCTTGAGGCACACAGGGTTGCAGAGATGATCTCTAATCCACCGGCTTGTCCTTCGGGCACCTGCGCCTTCAGCGGCACAAGCCACTCGCCCTCCGCTGCCTGTGTGTCCCGGGGCACGTGGAGCACGTTGCACATGGCAACAGGCCCCTGCCCCTGCTCGCTCCAGGGCGTGCATGTCCACAGCGAATAAGATCCCTTTAGTCTTACAAAACTGAATACTGCTGTATGTGTCGTATGAGAAACAAAATGAGTACTTTCTTGAGGTAGTCCTGGCTTCATAATAGTTTAATAATTTCATTATTTGCTTAAAATACTTTTGAAAATCTAATAATTTTTTCCAAAGCCATTTAACAAAAGTACTTTACAGTTACTCCTTAAAAATGGTGAGCTCTCTTACATCAGATAAGCGGTCCTAACTGAGGCTTTTAAAACTGGCTAACTTTGCTGAAGCCATTAAGTGTCTGGTGTCCGAGAGGCGGGGTAACTGCGCAGGACTTGTGCCTTGTGCGAGACCTCCAGCACGTTCTCATACTGCAGCTTTTCTGCCTTTGGAAGTGTATTTTCCTGAGATCGTCATGAACTTGCAAGTACAAAACTGTGTCAGCGCAGGGGTTCCTAATTTGGGGGGAATCCTTGGAGTCTGAGGGAGATACGCACAGATGGGCTCCGGGGTTTCTGAGACTGCCCTCATGTTTTATTCCCACGCGTGTCTGCCCAGGGAGGACGTACTTGCTAGTGCTCAGTTGGGATGCAGTTTTGGTATTTTCAAGTGGGATGGATCTAATGTTTTCTCACGATTCCTTTGTGACACCTCTCTGGGTGTCGGTGGACTTACAGGCTTGCGTCCTTCATGCGTTTATTGAGTAATTGTTAAGAGCCCGTGATATGCCAACCACTAGGGCTCTGTTACTGAGCGACGCAGAGGGAAACCCTCGGTCCTCGGGAGTCTGCATTCTAGTGGGAAGACGTGAGCGAAATGAGTAAGTGAGGTGCACGGCAGACGGGGGCCTGCTGTGGGCCGTGGGGCCAGAGAGAGCAGGAGGGGTGCCTGGCGCTGTGTGGCAGCTGAGAGGCAGGTGCTGCCATCCTGGGGAGCGGACAGAGGGCAGGACCCACCGTCTGGGCCTTTCTAACAGGTGTAGCTGTGAGAGGCGGTGACCCGAGCAACTGGAAGGAGGAAATGGCTGACCCTAGAAAGGGGGAGACTCTTGGGGGGGCGGGCTTTGGCGCTAAGGCTGACCAGACTTGGTTTTGTATCGTCAGGGTTGATATTGGAGAAAAGGTGTCATTTTGGCTCACCTGCCAGGCTGGGATTAGGGGGAGAGATCCAGCTGGAATTGCACGCTCGGGAGCTGTCCGTGTACAGGCTTCTGCTTAAGGCCGTGGGGATGCGGGTTCATCAGAAAGGGAAGGCACTCCGAGGTCGCACCGTGGCCACTTACTGGCAGGTGAGGTGGGGGTGGACTGGCCTTGAGGGAGGGTTGCATGTGTGTTGTTGAGGAGACGGTGTGTCACTTTCATAGGATTGTCACATTGATCAGGGGTCCTCCCCAAGACATTAAGAAACTGGAGCCGACGGCCTATAATTTCATTATACTTTTACCGTTTGTCTCACCATGTGACAAAAGTAGAGAATAGCGAAGCTCCCTGACCATGCTTCCTCGGCACTGGGCTCCGAGGGGCTCTGCTGTGGACCCTGCCCTTGGCGGCCGGGGCGTCCCTTCTACTCCCTGCGCGTCCCTTGCACTGCAACGGAGCAGCTGAAGGCCATGCGTCCTCCCGACGTGGCGGCTCCCAGGGAGAGCGTGTCCTCCGTGTTGCATTCTGTGATCTGGGTTGTCCTTGGACACTTGGGGACAAGAGCTGTGTGGTCGGCAGAGTAGACGTGGGGCGACCATGAGGAGAGGGGAAGCAGCATTTCAGAGGCAGAGAAGGGCCTCATCTCTGTGGGCAGAGCCTGGTCCTGCAGTGGGAGCCTGGCTGGGGCCAGGTGGGGACGGTCTTGCTTCGGACTGTCCTCCGAGGGTGGCCGTCTCTCCATGGGACTGCCGTCCGTGTCCTGGTGCTGCTGGTTGGTTTGAGCTCATAGACATGAGCCTCAGAGGGTCTTTCTCAGCAAACGTCACACAGTGTGGTTTGACACGCTCCGCTCTGCAGACAGGTGATTTTCTCCTGCTGCCGTGTGGCCCAGAACCAGTCCCAGCTTTGTGCGCAGCATTCTCTCTCTCAGGTCAGCCCACGAGTGCATCGGCTGCTCTTCTGGTTCCGGGGGTGCCTTCACGAGACCAAGCGTGTGTCACGGAGTGAGATTTCGAAATGTATTTCCCGTTTGTCAGTTTCCGGTTCGGTGTGGACATTCGCAGGCGTGGGCTGCCCTGTGCAGATAGCTGGCCCCAGAGACGGTACTTTGGGACGCGACTGACATCCTCCTACAGCTTCAAACTGGGAAATGGAACAGATTTCTGAATCTTGTTTTTGGTTTTTAATAATATGTGAATAAGAAATTTGAAGGACTTTATAATTATTTCATCCTTGGAGTAATGTTAAAATATTCTTTAACTTAGGGGAAGAGGACGCTGCACATTTACATGTTATTCAGAACTAGCTAGGAAAATCTGTTTGTCAAGTGTTTTATAAACCTAAAGAGCATATGAATTGGCATTTCCACGTGTCTGGACTCAGGAGTGATTCCGACCCCGAGGCAGTGGGAGGTTTCACGGTGTGTCGTGCGACTTAAAGAAGATAGTGTGTACTTAAGTTTTTTCCTGTTAGTTTCTGATTAGTCAGATAGTAATGCCTCCTGGTATTGCTGTAGGATTTACTGATAATGAAATAATAAAGTAGGGTTCGGGCTTCAGATGCCCTGAGCAGAACTTGATCTAACAAATTATTGTTGCTGTCATGTCATTTCTTAAATGCTGGAGAGCACACCTTGCGTCTGTGACAGTCATGCCTGGTGGAGACTGTTCTTGCCGCCTCTCTGATGTCCCGCCTGTGCCCGTGCTGCGGACTGACGCGTGTGCTCTCCGTGCTGTTTCTAGGTGTGAGTACTGCAGCAAAGGCTTCAAGAAGTCGAGCCACCTGAAGCAGCACGTGCGGTCCCACACTGGGGAGAAGCCCTACAAGTGCAAGCTCTGTGGGCGCGGCTTCGTCTCCTCCGGGGTCCTCAAGTCGCATGAGAAGACACACACAGGTCACTGTCTGCCTCGCGCCAGGGCGTTTGTGGTTTGCAGTGTGGCGGTGGTGGGCTGCGGCTGTCACCCCCGCCTCATTCTAGCACATGCTGGTCCCAGCCAGAAGCCGGTCTGGACCCGCGAGCGCTCACTCCCTGCGTCCCCTGCAGGCCCCGCCCTGGGCAGCCAGGGGGCTGCTGCCATCTCTGGAAGTGCGTGTTTCCGACATTCCGTCCACCTGCAAACTTGCGGATCTGGCTTCCTTTACGGAGCGCGTGTCCAGGTCTGCTCACACTGGAGGCAGCACGCCGCCCCTTGGTGGAGCAGGGCGGTGTTCTGTGGCGTGGAGGAACCCCGGGCCCCCTTCCCTTCCTCCTCGTCTGCTGTGGGGCATTGGAGTGGTTCCCGTCTCTGGGCGCATGGGGATCCTCCTGCTGTGAACACGTGTGTGCAGCTTGCCGGATGTGTTCCCATTTCTCTCTTTGCGACTGGAGTGGCTTGGTCCCGGGGTGACTGTTCAAACCTTTGAGTTAATCAGACTCTTTTCCTAAGTGGTTGCCATGTTGTATGTGTCCACCAGCGGTGGACGGGGGCGCCCACTTCACACTCTGGTCAGCTCTTGGCCTTGTTGGTCCCTTCTACCGTGACCATCCCTAGGAGACAGCACCGGTGTCCGCTCGTGGGGTTCACGTGCCTTTCTCTAGTGGCCGAGGACACGGGGCCTCCTTCACGTGCATGTGGAGAAGCAGCTCCTCTAATCCTGTGTCATTACTAAATAAGATTGTTTGAAATCTTATCGTTGAGTTGTTTAAAGAGTTTTTAATATATTCTTTATCAGAAATATGATTTGCAGTTAAATATGTTTTTAATGTTACTTTTATCTGTTTAATAAATTCAGAGTGTTTATTCCCTGTATTAATGTATGTAAGATCCGTGTGTCTGTGTAAGGCTGTATTTGAAAATAAAAACATACCACAGAACAAAGGCAGGCTCTGTAGGGTTGGTCACAGCTGGTGGTCACAGGCCCTGGGAGGCCAGGCGGAAGGCAGGTCCAGCGAGGGCCAGTTGGAAGGCCCTGCTAGGGAGTCCATGCTCCCTGCAGCAGAGAGGAGCCTGTGCGACTTGGACAGGGAGCCGTGGCCGGTCAGCGAGGTGCTTGGACAGTCGGGGTGTCCTCTGTGTCTTCAGTCCAGAGCAGAGACGGCCTTCCTGGAGGGCCGGATTGGGAAGTGCAGCTGCACACTGGTGTTGGGGACGGTTCCCATGTCAGCGGCCTTGGGGGTGGTGAGTGGATTTGAGAAAACCTTCTAGGGCATAATGCATGAGTTGTCATGCGCTGGACTGTCAAAGACAGGGGCAAAGCGGGGCAGAGAGAACTTGGGGTTTATTTAGAGCAGGGCTTTAATTCCACGAGCGGGTTAGTCGTAAGGCCCTCTGCGTCCACTTCCCAGAAGAAGCCTGGGGCCGATAAATGGTCTTTGGTTTTGTGGCTCATCGGACGTATCCTTGTTTGCTTCCGACGACTTATGATGTTCCGGCAACGAGACGCGGTTACTGACCGTGTTTCCGTCCTCACAGGGGTCAAGGCGTTCAGCTGCAGCGTGTGCAATGCGTCATTCACCACCAACGGCAGCCTCACCCGGCACATGGCCACGCACGTGAGCATGAAGCCCTACAAGTGCCCGTTCTGCGAGCAGGGCTTCCGCGCCGCGGCACACTGGAAGAAACACATGAAGAGGCACCAGGCCGTCCCGTCTGCGGCGGCGGCCGCGGGGGAGGCGGACGGAGCAGGTACGGCCCGCCTTGGTTTGACGCTCTGACACGTTGTGGCAGGTCGTGGTGAAAACTAGCTGCTTTCCCGACTGTGACCGCAGGCCGTGCCCTCAGGAAACGGTGCAGCGGGGACAGAGCAGGGACCCGTCTCGCCGGTCGCCACCCCCGGCCAGCCGCTGCAGCCGTGCAGACGCGCCTGGAGGCCGACACAATAATTTGTTGACTGGCAGGGACTCCGGCTGCCCGGCTGCCTGTGCTGGTGGTGGTCCCCTCAGTTTTCCCTCCGCTGGTGTCTGTTGTGGGCATGGGCTCCAGGGGCTCCGGGGAAGCCCATCGTGCTCCGTTATGTCATTCCCACTGGGTGGACGTGGGCCTTCTGTCTGGCCTGTCCCGGAGCCGGTGAGGGCCAGCCGTTAGGGAAGGCTGTGCGCCTGCACCGGCCGGGGGGTGCGTGGCAGTATCTCGGCCGGCTCGGTCAGACGCGCTGGGAGCACCCCCTCCCCCTGGTAAGGGCAGTCCTCCCTTAGACAGAGGCGACCTCCCTCTAGCACATCCCACGGGTGAGATGCCAGGGATTAGGAACGTGCCGTTGTCTGTGTGGACCACGCAGCATTTGAGTCCCCCACTGGTGGCCCGTCCCGCCGGGGGTCTGTCCCTAGCGTGAGGCCTGACGGTGTGCACACAGTTGGTGTGTGATGTGTGTGGACTGAGTGGGATGAGGCAAGGGTGTGAGCGTCGGGCTGGCGCACTCGCAGCCGTCGGAAGGCTGGCGGCTTGCTAGCGTCTGTCCCGGGCTGTTCACCCCCATGTGCTCTGTGCTCGCCCCGGCCTCAAGGTCATGGCTGTCTCCTGGGGTGCTCGGCGACGTGATAGCCCTGTAGCTTGTTCTTACATTGTGGGGAAAATGTCTTTAAAACGTGCCTGACCTGCGCGCAGATGGGGACAGCTCGGGCTTCCCCGCAGAGCGGCGGCCCTCGTGGACTCCCCGTAGGTGTTTCTGACCCCTTGGGCTGTGTCAGGACAGAGCGCCTCCCCTTGAGCCTCGTCCTTCCTCGTGAAGCCTTTATTTCCCCTTTTGTCCCGTGGTGAGTGAAGTGCGGGGAGGAAGCCGTAGCTGCCCTCGGTGATCAGAGCGTGGGTCGCAGCTGCCGTCCCGGAGCCCCGTGGTGCCGAGCGCCTTCATGAGATGCCGTGGCCTCTGGCGCGAGGGCCGCGTCTTTCCTGTCGGCTGAGGGCCCCTCACGTCGTCGCAGCTCTGCCCGCGAGGCGGCTGGGGGCTCCTGTGGTGGCCTTGCCCTGGGCTGTGCAGGTGGGAGCCCCCGTAGTCTGTCGCGGTGTTTTCCCCTCTGGGGTCACCGAGGAAGAGCTGCCGCGGCCCTAGCATCTCGTCGTAGCGTTGATGTCTGTCTCGTGTGTGAGGGCAGTGAGCCCGTGTGGCCTGACGCCGTGGGCTTCTGTCCCTGCGTATTGTCCTCCATTTTACTGCCCTTTGCCCTCTCATGGCCCCACCGTATGGATTGGGTTCTCGGACTTTCTCCCCACATTTCTTTCTCTGTGTCGGTGGGGCCATGTGCCCCACAGCCCCAAATCTTCCCAGATGTTATTCTCTCCTCCGCAGTCCACCTTCCCTCTCCCCACCGGCCCCTCTCTTTCCTTTTTTTTTTTTTTAAAGAAATTATTTATTTATTTGACAGACAGAGATCACAAGTAGGCAGAGAGGCAGGCAGAGAGAGAGGAGGAAGCAGGCTCCCCGCTGAGCAGAGAGCCCGATGCGGGGCTCGATCCCAGGACCCTGAGACCATGACCTGAGCCGAAGGCAGAGGCTTAACGCACTGAGCCACCCAGGCACCCCTCTTTCCTTCTTTCCTTCTTTCCCTCCCTCCTGTCGTTCTCCCTTTATCCTAACAGAAACATCCCAGTAGCTCTTGTCCCTAGTGTGCTGCTGGCCACTGTCCATTGGCCGCTTAGTGCTTCTGTTGAGGTTTTCTCTTCTGTTTTCTTGCCGTCTGTGCCGCTCTGCCGTCCCGCTCCCAGCTGGCTTCTTTTCCTTCTGTTGGATTTAATAGCACCTTCTCCTTGTTCCTAATCGGTGTAAATGCATCCTTACGTCCCACTGAGAGGATATCTAAATGTCTGTATTTTAAGGGTTTTCTTGATAACTAATTAGGCTTTTTTGTGAATTTTCCGCTTCCGCCTTCTGTCTCAGGCTGTTGGTTTCCTTTATGTGATAATTCAGTTTTTGCCCATAGTGTCTGTGTTTATGGATGCTGGGGACCGGTGATTTTGGGGCTCTCTGCCGGGCCACTCCTCAGTCTGGTGCTGTCGTGACAAGGTGACCAAGGTGTGCTGCTCCCTTCTGGGGACCCAGCTTGGTTTCCCTGTGGACTAGTGGTGGGAAGGAGACTCTTCCATCCCGAGTAGAGTGTCACTGAGTAACCCACTTTAAACCCTACAGACTTATTTGGTTGCATTTTACTTCTTTTGTGAAAACTTCATTTTTCATTAGGATCGGATCCTTTTCCTGTATTTTGTGTAGATGTGTGTCTGGAGGAGGAGGAGGAGAACTCTGACAGAAGTGCCTCTCGCAAGGCTCGTCCCGAGGTCATCACGTTCACGGAGGAGGAGACGGCGCAGTTGGCCAAGATCCGGCCGCAGGAAAGTGCCACCGTCTCAGAGCAGGTCCTGGTGCAGTCGGCGGCCGAGAAGGACCGCATCAGCGAGATGAAGGACCGGCAGGCCGAGCTGGAGGCCGAGCCCAAGTTCGCCAACTGCTGCTCCTACTGCCCCAAGAGCTTCAAGAAGCCCAGCGACCTGGTGAGGTGAGGCGGCCGCGCCGTTCTCGGCGTCCACAGACGGCATCCGTGGGTGCCTCCATCACCTCCGCGAGGCTGGGGAGGTCCGTGTCTGAAGCGGGTGCCTCCCGGGAGGCCGGCGTTGAGCCGGGGGCTTCTGTTCAGGCTCCTTGGGCACGTGGGTGAGAACGCGGTGCTCTGTGCGTGGCTCGTGGGCGCGTCTGAATGGTCCTGGTGTCAGCAGCGTCCCTTTCTCCGTGGGTTTGGTTACTTCCCCGAGGTCACCACAGTCCCTGAGGGGGCCATCCTCCTCCTGACCTTTGTCACAGGGTTGTGGTAGCCTAACCCACGTCGGTGCGGGAAGGTGAGGCGTACACTGACAGGGAGAGTGCGCATTCGCGGGACGTTTTTCACGCTGTGCTGTTACGCTCATTCTACTTAATCCGCAGCGTCGTAGTCGAACTCTTAAGTGTGCCTACCTTAGAAATTCAGCCTTTTAGTACACGTGCGTGCAGGTCAAACAGCATACGTGGGGTTTGGTATGTCCACACTCAGGCATCCCCTGGGGGTCTCAGATCTTGTGGATGGGGTGGGCTACTGTAGGTAAAAGAGAAAGAAAATGAATTCTTTATTGAGGACAACGCGGTGCTAAGCTGTGTGGGCTTGCAGACCCCATCAGGGACCTGCTGCCCCCGAGTGCTGGTCCATGTGGGGAGTGAGGGCACAGACTCAATCCGGGTGAACAGTGACGGAGTCATGAGGCAGCCTGTGATTAGGGCCAGTCAGCCCGATAGCAGCAACTAGCGTGAGGTCAAGTCCAGCAGGGCGGTGAGGAGCTGGAGCCCAGGACACTGAGCTGTGGGGAGGCACAGCCTCGGGTGAAGACGACGTAGTGCGTCGTCCTTCAGCACCACACGGGCTCTGAGTGTTTGCTCGAGGAGGGAGCTGATGGGTGAAGGTGTGGGGCAGTCCAGCGCAAGGAGGGGCACTTGGGACTTTGAAGTGGGTGATGGAGCAGGCTGCTCTCAGGACCCTCCACACGGGGGTGGGCGGCGGGGGGAAACAGAGGCTGGCGGCAGAGTGGCTCGTGGGTTGGCAGTGCGTGTCCAGTGAGCATAGAAGGTGACGGCTAGCCTGCCCTCTGCTTCCCACGTGGGGTGGGAGATATGCCAGTGAGGGTGATGGAGAGGTGGTGAGGGGGGATCAGGGTGAGCCCACAGGGAACTGGCCGTGTCCCTTCTGGGCTCCCCCAGACGTGAGGAGTGCCATCGAGGCTGGGGAGTTAGACAGCAAAGCGTGCAGCGAGGAGAGCGCCAGGCACCGTTGTGAAGGAGTTGGAGTGCTTTGTAGGTAGGCATGCAGCCTGGTAGGAGGGACGCCAGGAGGGGAGCACGCAGGGCAGCTGGTGGGGACAGCCGGTTACCAAGAGGGACTGGTGGGAATCCCAGATGAGAATGTCCTGAGGGCCAGGGCCGCCTGTGTGGAGATGGTGGGGACAAAGCTGTGGGGATCCACGCACCATGTTGGACCCCTGCCAGGAGAGGGGCCTGTGGGCGGTGCCCAGGGTAGCCCGCTGGGACGCAGGGTCAAGGTGAGAAACCGCTCCGTCGTCACACATACGCATGTGTCTGCGTCACGACACGGAGTGCAGGACGGCCTCACGGCTGACTGAGCCTCTCATTCTGTCCTCCATCTGAACGTTGTGGGGAGCTCAGCCTGTCCGTTGGCTGCCGGGCGGAGAGCATAGAGAGAAAAACAGAACAGAAGCAGAGCACGGGAGGCCGTCTGGTGAGAAACAGCCATTCCTGCGCCCCACACACAGCCCTGCCGCAGTTTCCTAGGTGTGGTTTGGGAAATGTCCGCATATTACGTCAACATTAAGTTCTGTGATTTTATTTTTTGACTAATTTTTACCTATCATTGGGTCTTAGACGTCTTTGTCCGTACCTGCACTCCCATTATTTCCTGTTAATGCTGATGTAGTGTTATGTTTATCCCATAACACCCTAGTATGAGCATTTAGCTCTCCCATGTTCGATTACTACGTGAGCATTGCGCAAGTATTGCGCGAGCACTGCATGAATACTGCATGAGTACTGAGTGAGCGCGATACAAGTACCACACGAGTACTGTGCAAGACTACACTAGTACCGCATGAGTGCCGCAGAGCACTGTATGAGCACTGCGTGAGCATCACGTGAGCACCGCGGAGTACTATACAAGCACCGTGTGAGCACTGCAGAGTCCTGTACGAGTACTGCACGAGCACTATACCAGTACAGCAGTGTACTGTACAGCTATTGCATGAATACTGTGTGAGCGCTACAGAGTACTATGCGAGCATGGCCCAAGTACCACAGAGCATGTACGAGTACTGCAGAGTCCTATCCAAGCACAGCACGAGCGCTCTATGAGTACGCAGAGTACTATGTGAGTATTGCGCGAACACTGCCTCTTCACCGTAGCATACTATACGAGCCCGGCAGGCTACTATATGAGCACCACCCGAGTACCACACAGCACTATACAGGTGTATCAGAGTCCTGTGTGAGCACTGCACGAGCACTATATGAATACAGCAGAGTACTGTCCGAGTACTGCATCAACACTCCATGAGCACTGCAGGGTACTATATGAGCACTGCACGAGTACCACAGAGCCCTATACAAGTGCTACAGAGTACTGTACGAGCACCACATGAGCACTATGTGAATGCTGCAGAGTTCTGTACAAGTACTGCATGAGCATGATACGAGTCCAGCAGAGTACTCTGCAAGTACTTCATGAGCATCACGTGAGCACTGCAGGACTCTGTATGAGCACCGCCCGCGTACCACAGAGCACTAGATGAGTACTTCAGAGTACTATATAGTACTGCATGAGCACCGCACGAGCAGTGTATGAGTACTGCAGTGTCCCATGTAAGCACCGCGTGAGCACCACAGCGTACTATATGAGTACTGCACGAGTACCGCGTGAGCACCGCAGAGCACTATGCGAGCACCGCACCAGCACCGCGCCGAGTGTGCGTCCCTGTGCACTTGCGTGTCGGGGGGCCGGTGCTGACAGATGCTGCCAGCCGGCGTCTGCACGGGTCGTGCCTCTTATGCAGATCGGTCTCTGGATGCTCCCCGACCAGGCCCTCAGTGCACAGATGGGGGAAGTGGTACCGTTTTAATTTGCTCTTTCAAAGGCTGAGTGTGGGCCAAACCCTTCCGTGGGGTTTCCTGCTGCGTGTTTCTTCTGGCGCTGCGCTGCCCGTTCTTCCCCTGTCTCTTCCACTTTCTCGCCTTCTTACCCACTCAAGCACTGTTTGGTTTTTAAAAAAGCCCTGTTGTCATCGGTCTTGCAGATTTTTTTTTTTGGTTTTGTTTTCTTCTGGACTCGTTTAGGGTGTTTTTGTGTAGAGTGAAGATTAAAGGTTTTATTTGGACAAATTCATTCAGCCTGTACTAACACATAATTTTCACTCTATGGTAGTTATGAGGTTGTTTGTAACTGGATGTAAAATTAAAATGAGAAATGCTTCCTGTAAATGCTTTCTAACGGCAAGTGCTTTCTGGCAGGCATGTTCGGATCCACACCGGAGAGAAGCCGTATAGGTGTGACGAGTGCGGGAAAAGCTTCACTGTTAAGTCGACTCTGGACTGCCACGTGAAGACCCACACAGGTAAGGACAGCGCCTGGGTCACACGTAGGGGCCTTACGGTGGCGTTTTCCATTTGTCCCTAGGTATCTTGCCCAGAGAAGTACTTTTGGGATTTTAGAAAACTTAAAAATCCTGAACCACAAAGAAATAGAGTACGAGGACGTTGATTCCTGACTTGGGGAGGATGACCCGGGTGACACAGAGGAGAAGGTGCTTAGTCTCAGATGCCAGCTTGTACGCTGTCTTGTACTTTAGTCAGACTCAAACCCCTTGTTAAGAAAATTGCTTCTTAGTCTCATTTAGGCCAAGGAGGTTTGGCTTGTTGAGGTTTTACAAGATCTGGGGATTTAGCAAAGGCAAATCTCACTATAGTTCACAGGTAACTTTTTTTTATGTGGCAGAAATGTCATAAAGGAAAAACATTAATGTCCAGTTTTCAGTGGCTGTTTTTTTCCCTTCATCTCATTTGAGGAACTAAAGGTGAATTAATTGTCCTAATGAAAGCCTGTCGAGGCTTTGCTGCTTGTGCACAGGGCATGCCTGTGGTTGGGGGGGCAGGCTCCGCACCTTGGGGGTTGGAGCTCTGTGTCCCCTCCTGAGCCGCTCCCTGAGCCTCAAGTTATCACCTAGGAAGTGGCACGTGGTGAACTCTCAGGACATGGTAGAGGATTATGGCTCTCAAACCAATTTACATTCTTAATTTTTAGTTACCCATAGAATTGACCAAAAATGTACACAAGAAATTCCACACATTTACGTAAAGCCCCGTGATTCTTTTCTGATAGGTCACTATTTGGAATTAAGTAGATACATGAACATGGCGTATCCCTTCTGCAGACAGTGTTTCTGTCACTTAGTTGGGCACTGTGTGTCTGTCTCTCTTGAGTGATGCTGAGTTGCTGAGGACCAGTAGGGGCCTCTCGGTGTCCCAGGTCTGGTGGGGGGACAGTCGCTCTCATGGCCTGTGCCAGCAGCGTTCGGGGTGACTCGCACACGGGATTCAGGGTTGGCTCCCACGCGTAAGCCACAGGAAGAAAAGTCTCTGTGAGGAACGCCTTTCAGGCCTTCCCCTCCACGCTGGGCTCCTCGGGTGACCTTTGGGGCCTGTGAGCAGGGTTAGGACAGTAGGCCCCCCTCCGGGGTGAGTCCCGGTGTGCCCGCCCTGGTCAGTGAAAATTAGTATTAGTTTCCGGGAGCCATACAGGGAAGCAGAGAACCAGGATGCTTTCATCCTCCGGGAGCCTCTCTGGGGCAGAGTAGGTGGGGGACAAGGCACTCAGGTCCACGTCCATGGTCTTCGTCACACCCCGGACGCAGGAAGAGCATGGGAGTCTCGGGGGCTGAGCGTGTGAGCCAGCCCGTGGCTCCAGGCCGCTGTCCACCCGTGTGGGTGTGAGAGGTGCTGAGACACGGCCGTGCCCGTTATGCACCGAGGGGTGGGTGACAGCGCGGTGGGGCTGGCTGCCACCGAGGCTGTGAGTGGGCGGCGGCGTCCCCGTGCTGCGGCGTCCAAGCACCATGACAGCGCGGGGCTCGCAGTGTGGGCTGCGGGCTCACTTCAGCGTCTCTGCGGAGCTCTCTGTCCCTTGCAGGGTGTCCTGTGGGAGCACGGGACTCGCCCTCAAGCCCGCGGGCCCCTGGGGTCGGCACTCCGTGTGCCCGTGGGTGCGGCGTTGCCAGCCCCCTGACCCCGGCCGGCCTTCCCGCAGGTCAGAAGCTCTTCAGCTGCCACGTGTGCAGCAACGCCTTCTCGACGAAGGGGAGCCTGAAGGTGCACATGCGTCTGCACACGGGGGCCAAGCCGTTCAAGTGTCCGCACTGCGAGCTGCGCTTCCGCACGTCGGGCCGGAGGAAGACGCACATGCAGTTCCATTACAAGCCCGACCCGAAGAAAGCCCGCAAGCCGGCGGCCCGGAGCGCGTCCGAAGGCCTGCAGCCCGTGAACCTGCTCGGTCCCACGTCCGCTGACCCGAACGTGTTCGTCATGAACAACTCGGTTCTCGCGGGGCAGTTTGAGCAGAGCGCGCTGCAGCAGGGGCTGGTGGGCCAGGCTGTCCTTCCCGCCTCCGTGTCGGGTGAGCCCGCGGCGGGCGGGGGGCCGGGTGGGGGGCCCGCTGGGGGCAGGGCGGCGTGTCTCCTCTCGAAAGCTCGCGGTACGGGGCGGCTGGGAAGACCAGTGTCGTTCCTCGGACGAGTCCCCTTCCGTTTCCTCTTCCTTTCACGCCGTCGGCTTGGGAACGCCTTCGTGGCGGTTCTGGCTTTTTCTCTAGAGCAGGGCACGTGACACGGGCCACTTCTCTTACTGATCTTGGGTCACCTAGTGCTCGAAAAGTGTGACATTGTAGCCATTTAAGGGTTTCGTGGATTTACGCAGACTGACTGTTTCTAGCTGTCGGACATGCCCTGGGCTGGCTTTCCCTGTAGGTGACCTGGGAGTGACTAAAGCCTGAAAAAACCTGATTGTTAGTTGCTGTTACAAATCCTGGGCTAATCAGTCACAGTAATGTCTTGAGCCTTGTTTCTGGGTGTTTAAGGTGGGTGACACTGTTATCAGTTCAGAGGGTTTGTTCGCTGTTGAATTGGCTGAGGTACGTGTGGCGGGCAGGAAGCAGCGGTACTCGTGGACCCGGCCAGGTAACGGGTGGGCAGGGCTTAGCTGTATAAAAAGCCCCAAATGCAGGTGAGCTGCTTTCCTGTCAGGAGCTCATCCTCGTCGTGTCCCTGCAGCCGGCGGCGACTGGACGGTGTCCCTGGCGGACGGGAGCCTGACCACCCTGGAGGGCGTGCAGTTACAGCTGGCCGCCAACTTGGTCGGCCCCAATGTGCAGATCTCGGGCATCGATGCCTCCAGCATTAATAACATCACGCTCCAGGTAGGGCGCACGCCGTGTGCCTGGGGCTTCGGGGGGTCAAGCCCCACGTGAGCGTGAACGTACCGTGACTAGGATCCCGGTTGCTTTACAGATCGACCCAAGTATTTTGCAGCAAACGCTACAGCAGGGCAGCTTGCTCACCCAGCAGCTGCCTGGGGAGCCCGGCCTGGCCTCCCAGAGCGGCTCTCTTCAGACCCAGGATAGCACGGTCCCCGCTAGCGTCGTCATCCAGCCCATCCCCGGCCTGTCCTTACAGCCCACCGTGACGTCAGCCAGTCTGACCATCGGCCCGCTGTCGGAGCAGGACCCCGTGATGACCACCAGCAGCGGTGGTAAGTGAGCGCATGGGCAGTTAGGACACCGCGGCCCCTCCCGCCTCTGGAAGGCTCGGCACACATCTGATGTCCCAAGCTTATGTAAGCTTCCCCGGCGACAGGCGGTGTGTGTGCCCCCGCATGCGTAGCTCGCTGCCCGCACCTGCTCCCGTGGTCCTGCTGGCTTCCGGTTTCCCCGTAAGCTTCTCTTACCTCTCTCTGCACGAGGGAATCAGAGATGATCGATGTTTTCTTTTGACTCTTCTTTTGAAATAACAGTTTCACTAATTATTTTTAATATAAAGAAGGAGAAAATTACTGTAGTTTAAAGTCCAGCCTTATTTTGTTTTGTAATGATGACCAGGGACTCAAGACCTCTCTCAGGTGATGACATCGCAAGGCCTGGTGTCCAGCTCCAGCGGCCCCCACGAGATCACCCTGACCATTAACAACTCCAGTCTGAGCCAGGTCTTGGCACAGGCTGCCGGGCCCACTGCTGCATCGTCCTCGGGGTCTCCCCAGGAGATCACTCTGACCATCTCTGGTTAGTCCCTTCACATTTTAAACCTCTTCTCCCCTGCGATTTGAGCATACCTTGTTCGTGTGTGTGTGTGTGTGTGTGCACGTACACACGTGTACGTATACGTATAGATTTCTTGTTTGCAAAATTGAATTTGGCCTAAGGCCAGTGCTCGGTAAGTTTTTGTAATCAATGTGGGAAAGACATTCAGGTTTAGTGAAAGAGCGTCACAGTTCAAACCTAACACCAGAAACTAACCACGAGAGCTCCCCACGTCCTTCCAGCTCCAGTCTGTTGTCCTGTTGCACTGATTCGGTCCACGGACAGCAGACGGCGCAGCTTCTTGGGACTGGGATGACGTGTGTGCGGGCTCATTCCAGGTGCTTACCCTCCTCGGAATTCTGCAAGATCGTGTGGGACAGTGCTAAGTGTGCTGTGGCACTGAGAAGTGTGTAAACAGGAAATACCGTCCGGGAGGATTGAACTCGGCAAACCAGTCCTGTGTGTCAGCTACCAAGCGGAGGTGTCCTGGTGCCAGGGCGGCCGCGGTCGCAATCGCCTTGTGCTCGACGTAATGAACTCCCTCCGCACGTTCTCGTCTCGCTCAACCACCAGCGAGTGTTGTCTGTGTGCTCTGGCCGTGTGACCCTTAGCTGTTTGGTGACGCTAGCAACAATCTGTGTGACCTTCTACGTGCCAGGCACTATTCTAGTGTTGTACAAATATTAAGGCACTTAATACTAATTTCTTTAAGCCTTCTAGTAATCTTTTATGAGGTTGTCACTAAAGATAAGGACCACATTTTGCTAAGAGGCAGAGCACTGTCCCTGGAGAAGAGGGGGTGATGGCGGATGTGGGAGCATTTTACCTTAAAACACGGGGAGTGATGGTGGGTGGAACGCCGGACCGACCTGGCCAGGGGAGCAGGCCCGGCCGACAGACTCAGACTCGATCTCTTCAGGGAGATTTCTGCGAAACGTATGACCGCGATAGAAACTGAAGTTACTCAGAAAGAAACCAAAAGCTTTCTTTTTTAGGGAGTGTCTTTATTTCTTTTGCTGTATATGACAAACGCGAACCTGTTCTTGGGTGGAGTTTGGTTTTGTGGCACGGAGGGATTCTGGACGCCGTCAGGCGGCAGACATTAACTTCCGGGTTTGTGTAGTTTGGTCACCTTCCTGCTCTCATTGTATATATCTGAGTTTTAATAGTTTCTTTCTTTTTTTTTTTTTAAGGAAGCTATTTTGAGCAAACTGATGTTTCTCGTGTGCTCTCGGTGTGTGGGCACCACGCTCCTCCCGCGCAGAAGGCCCGGAGCGCAGGCTTCTCGCCGACAGCTCACACCGTGTGCTGCGGCTTCTGGGCTGTGTGGCTCTTTCTCCCGCGCTTTCCGGCTACTGAGCGTGTAGTTCTCTTATTGCTTATTAGTATTTCCAAAACAGTAAGGAGATGAATTTAACTAATTTAAAGAAAAAAATTGCTGTGAAGCCTTCCCCTGGGGGAGATCTTTAAATCAGTTGATGACCTGGGCTTCGCCCAGACCTTGGGCTTGAGACTTCTTGTCCTCCATCCTCGTTATTGAGCTCGTGGGAACAGGCGAGTCACACGTCAGCGCCTCCGCGGGGAAACGTGGAGCGTGTGGTCACCCGTCGAGAGTGTCTAGGTAGGATTTTTAGTGACTTTGTAAGAGGTTCTCTTCTCCGCTGGCGTGCGCAATCACACGGGCTTGTCCGTGCCACGAGGGGTTCCACTTCAGCCGAGCCCTGTGGCTTTGAGCAGTTCACAGGTCATACGAGAAAGAAGTTGAACCTCGGGTAAATGGCAGGACGAGGGCTCAGGCTCCTCTGTCTGTCCCAAAGCCCTCTTCTCTGGCGTCTCAGGCGGTTTCCCGCAGAGAATCAGAAAAGCGATACCCGCGTGCTCTGCCCCCGCGGCCAGGCCTCCGGGAGACGCTCCGCTGCCGGTCAGTCGTGTGTCCTCCGGCTCGCCCAGGCCCAGCACGCCCGGCTTCTCTTTGCTTCCGTTTCTGCACGGCGGGTTGAGGACGCCGCGGACGGCACAGCCGAGTGCAGCGCCCCTCGTCCTCTGGTGCGTTTCCCTCCCGTCTTGCAGAGTCGTCTCGCTTATGCCTAACTTGACGGCAGATTTTTTTTTAAAGTAACTTGTTTGCGTCCGTCTTCCCAGAGCACCGCGTGTGGGTTTCACAGACACGTCAGCGGGCCTTCCGGCTCTCCTGGGCGCGCGCCGTAGGCTGGTCCCAGCGCGTGAGCACTCGGGCTGCGGGAGCCCCGAGAGAGAGCCGTGGTGCAGGGAACCCTCACCCAGGAGCCGCTGCATTGCCGCCTCCCCTAGCCCCTGCGGTGGGAGGTCAGGGGGCTTCTGGTATCGTTGCATGACATCCCTTCGATCCACGTCACCACACGTTTGCCACGCCGGCTCTGTCTCCCGTGTGTGGACGTATTTTCCGCTCAGTGTAAGTTCTGGTCAGCAAAGTAAGTAATTTGAAGTTCCCGAGTCCCGCGTTAACTTAGAAGTCTCAGGGGGCACCTCGGAGAGCGTTACAGCTTAGGGGGCGGGCACAGACCCTGTCGTTTCAGGGAACGGGGTCACGGTCTCCTCCGTAAATATTACCGTGAATGCAACAGCCCGCGTTCTGCCAGGATGTTCCTGTATGTTTCACCCGCTTGCCAGGACGTGGGTTAACGAATTCCTCCGCGATATCTCAGTATTGATTCCATGCGGGTCGCGTCTTCCTCGGCACAGCGCTGGCGGAAGCAGTGAAGGAGCACAGGGCTGTGCGCTCGGCGGCCGGCGGCCCGTCTGCAGGGGCCTCCCCAGCCCGAGGCAGCGGCCAGCCACGCGCACAGGGCGCCACACCGAGCCGCTCAGGTGGGCAGCCGGGCGGCAGCACTGGGGACGGGCCCCGGCCGCTCTCACGACTGCTGTGTCGCCGCATTCCGCCGCTGGGGACGCGCACTCATCTCTCTGTCCGGGACACAGATTTCTCTAGAGCTGTCCACTAGCGAGTCCTGCTGACGAGGGGACGAGGCACCGTGTGGTGAGGCGCGAGGGCGTTTGGGGGCCCCCGTGTCCATGCTGCCTCCCGCCCCCTGCGTGGGGACCTGCGAGCTCGTGGCTCTGTGCCCCGCGGCAAGAATCGCCTGGCGCCAGCCCCCAGGACGAGTTCAGAAGGCAGCTTTCTAAGGTTTTGAAGTTAGACTTTGACAAATAAAAGCAAAAGAGCTCCGGAATAGTAAGTTACAGATTCACAGGGACTCATCAGTGGTTACGATGACAGGCCTGTCTCTTTGTCTTTATCTTGTAGAGATTTTATTCATTTCTTAGCCCTCTTATCTTCCAGCTCTGTCATTTTTTGAAAAAAATTTCATTTTTAGATATAGTTGTAGCTACAGGAAAGCCTTTTTATCCCATGATTATTTGAAATGCTTTCTTAAGCCATAATTCGTTTCTTCAGCAAAAGACTTCAGGTGTGTTATGTGGTAAGAATTGTACTCAATCTGCGAGTGTGACGCTGAGCAGGACAGACACGGTCCCTTTGCATTTTGGACCCTAGAAACTGACGGAGCAGAGACCTTACTGAAGAATGTGTGAAGCGTGGTGAAATGTGGCCGTAACGACAGATAGAGGACAGCAGGTCGTAGGTCACAGGGCACCGACCTGGTGGGGACGGCTTCTGTGAGAGTGGGAGCGTCTGTCCCAAGTGGCGGTGCCGTGCCGGCCAGAGGCCGTGAGCTGAGGCGGGCTGGCATGTCCAAGGAGGGCACGGGCAGCCTGGCATGTGGAGGAGCTTCCTGTCCACTCCTCTCGTCTGCCGATGTGTGCGCGGGCGCCTGTGTGGTTAAGGACTTCGTCAGAATCCTGTGTTGGCAGAGCCCGGCCTGGATTTCTGGCCCGTGATGTTTCCGTTGCGTCTGTGGTCTCTGCGATTCGCGGCCAGCGTGGGTGGTGGTCGTGGGCTCCGTCCGGCTGTCCCGGCCCACTTCCCTGGAGAGCATACCGGCCGGCAGTGCCGGAATCCCGCGTCTTCTGGAAGCTCATCTTGACCTCTTTAAGGAGCCCTTGGCAAATGAATGGGAAGACAGTGGAGTTTCAGGTGTTTTAGCTTAAATGGAGCGGTTTTCTTCTGTTACTTTGGTGGTCCTGCATGTTTGCTGGTGCAGCAGCCAACGTCGCTCAGAGCGGGAGGTGTTCTGATCAGGGTGCAGAGCGCGCGTGCTCCGAGGGCTCTGCCGTCGTCTGGGCAGCTGGACGTGGGGTGTGGGACCTCGTGTGTCGCCGCCACATGTAGCGATGGAGTCTCCCGTCATAGTTGGGGGTGGGGTCTCTCCGCACAGTGGGAGCTCCAAGCAGCAGCCCTAAGGCCACTGTGGACCACACGCTGACATTTCTGTAAACACCACAAACATCCCCTTTTCTCCTGATCGAATTGTCTCTTCTTCAGACCCGCTGTCTCCGAGCCAGTGGAAGACACTTCTTTCCTTTGGCTTGATTTGCTGCTTTATTTAAAATATTTTTCCAAGGAATTTAGTGAAATAAAAGTTGAGCTCGTAATTTAAAATGTTTAATGATGTGATAAGGGCTGTTATAAATGGAGGGTTAATTTTCTATGATGCGGGTCCATTGTATTCTGTCCCCAAATACCTTTGGCGTCTCTGAGTAAACCTGGCTCTGGGGACAGAGTCTTCAGACGTCGAACTCTGGCTCCGTGATGGTGGGAGGGTGTTTTAGAGGCTCGCGCGTTCCACAGGTACTGGTTTCAATACCAGAGCTGACCCCGTGGGTGGAACGTTGCTCAGGAGATTGCAGCTTAGCAGGGAGGTGTATCCCTGAGCGTCAGAGTCCCTCCCAGGCCGGGCTGCAAGCCGCAGCATGTGGGAATTGAAACTGAAACGATTTTGCGATTAGACATGTGTCTTTTTTTTTTTTTTTAAGATTTTTTATTTATTTATCTGACAGAGATCACAAGCAGGCAGAGAGACAGGCAGAGAGAGGAGGAAGCAGGCTCCCGGCTGAGCAGAGAGCCCGATGCGGGACTCGATCCCAGGACCCTGGAGTCATGACCCTCAGACTTTAAAGGCAGAGGCTTAACCCACTGAGCCACCCAGGCGCCCCAGACATGCGTCTTCTAGGAGAGACAGTTGAGCAGTAACTCTCCGCGCGGGAAAGTTAGATCAGAGCCAAGCGAAGGTCCCCATGGCTGGTGTCATCAGGAGTTCTTTCCGGGCACGAGATGTGGTTGAGGCTTTCTGCTTCTGGGACAGGTCTGGCCCTCCACATCCGTGACAGGATGGGACACACATGGTTTTCCTAGGACGTGGTCACACTCGGTGTGAGTGCCCTTCCAGAGGCAGAAGGTATTACCAACAGAGGCTAGAAGCTTTTTAAGGAATTTATCTCAAGTGGGTATTATCTTTCTGTTCTTACTTTTGTCCACTATTAATACAGTTTTGATGAATAAGTTGAGTTATGCTGTCAGTGAAGAAAAGCCTCAATTCCTTTTTTCCTTCCTTTGTAAGTTTATTTTAGCCTTTGTTTCTTCTAGATTTAAGTATGATCAGTTACTTACTTCCCAGCAGCTCAGAAGTCTTAACATTTCCCATTTGTGGGTACACTTTATAATTAAGGAGGACATTCTCCCACTTTCACCTTGGGGATGCATGGCCAGACAGGTGTCTCCTGTCCCCGCAGCCCCTCCACAGCCAACACACACGCCTTTCTTACCATGTTTTTATCTCAAGAAGAAACTGATCTCACATCCTTTAAACTACTTATGAAACTTTCCAAAATTATCACTAAGATTTCCTCAGAAGCTACAAAAACGTGTCCCAACAAAGATTTAAGACGGTGTTGGGTTTGATGACCGTGAGGGATTTACTGATCCTCTAGAGATGACTTTGAGGGAGAACCATGAACTGAAGGGAGACTTCGATTTCTTTGATGTGCCCTGGAGGCCTCGTGCTTTCAGAGCGGCTGGATGAGGCCTGAAGGTAAGAGTCTGCAGTCTGTGCCCTTGTTCACACCAGTTTCCAGGCCGAGAGGATTTAGGTAGAATGAAAACTGGTTTGTAGAACTTTCAATAAATCTTTTTCTATATAATTAAGAGCTATATATTGAAGAAATGTAATTATAGCTTTGAGTTAGTTACTCCATTGCGTGCTTAAGAAAAGTTTATTTTTTCCTGCTCATATCATCTGTTTTTGGACCATTTGGGAATGGAAGTTCTGCTTGAACTTCTTGGTGGAAAATGTCTTGATTGCAGAACCGAGCTGAACACTCACTCACACAGTGTCGGCGTAGAGCTGCGAAACCCAGCACTGGCTGAGGCTCGTGTCCCCACGGACCTCTGTGTCGGGTCTCACTTTTGCTCAGCGACACGCAGGCTTCTGTCTTCTCTTTGGGTTTCCTGTGCTGCACAGTCCTGGTCACACACCGCCCGCCCGCCGCCTTGCGTTGACGACCATCAGGGTCCGAGGCTGCTGCTGGTTGCGGAGAGCAGACTTTCCTCTATTTCGGGGCTCGGGTGAGGTGCGACGTCCCGGCCATGTGAGTCACCGCGAGCCCTGTTAGCATTTGGTTTTGCTCTTTGTGGCGACTCTGCTGGTGAGCCTTTCACCACGCGCTTCCCTCGACCGGGCGCTTGGACGGCCCAACCCCAGGCTTCGCCCTAGTGATCATGAGTGAACCCCAGTTCACGTCGCCGGCCACCACCGTGTTCTCGGGTCTGCTTTTCACTTTCCGTCTGGTGGTGTCACAGCCGCAGGCTAGTGCCGGACCGCAGGGAGAGCCTGCGGCGGAGCCGGCGCTGGTAGCCACGGAGCTTAGAACACGCACCTCCACAAATCCACACTCCGGCCCAGGTGTGTCCCCGCGGTCCGCGCTGCGCAGGTGCTCAGCGGGGGGGTCTGACGAGCCGGTGTCCAGAGCCCTGAGGGCCGCTACAGGGCAGAGACTCAGCCTCCTAATGGTTGTACCACTTTGGAAGGTTCCAGGTCTGTGAGGCACAGTGTGGGACCCCCAGAGTGTGGATCTGTGGAGGCCTCGTGTTTGCAGGACTCCAGTTACGAGTAAGTAACCTGGCTCCCCGCGGGCCCCTGACCACTCGGGACCGGCGCGACCCGCGGCCCGGCAGAGGAGCGCAGGCGTCTCTTCTGTTCTGTTTGTGAACCCGATTAGGAGACAGTATTTCCACCTTTTCTTAGTCACTGCCTCGGTGTCTGCGGCCCCCGGCCCAGGGGCTGGTGCGGTGGAAGCCGAAGGTCACAGGTGGTAGGTGAGGGCAGGGCGGCTGGTGAGAAGTGTGCGCCTGTGTGCGTGTGTACATGCATGTGCACGTGTGTCACGCTGACAAGTGAGAGCTCCAGAACTCGTTTTCCGTTGGTGCCCGCCAAGGCCCTCGAGAGCCGCGTGCTCAGCCTGTCTCCTCGGCCAGCCGAGTGCAGGAGTCTCTGTTCTCTACAAGAAAAGGCCTTCCTTTGCCTGAGTCTGTCCCGGATATCTTCCTTTCTCTTATCATTGGCTACAAGGGGAAAATTTAAAAATCTTGTTGTCTTTTCCAACGGAAAGTAAGACGTCGTGCAGGGCGAATTGTCATTTAAAGGGGTACACGCGGCGTGTCTCAGCCCAAGCCGACATGTGGGAGGGTGAAGGGGGCTCCGCGGGGTGGTCACGCCGAAGCCGTGCTGCCGATCGATGCTTGCTGGGTCCCCTGTGGTCCTCTCTTCAGGCTCCTCCCTGGGCCGAGGCGGGGACAGTGTCCCGGAAATCCTTGGCCGTTTCCTTCTGCCTTAGCAGCAGGGACTCGGACTGTAGGGTCATATTTTTGCTCTTTTCTGTGTTTTCCTTGATGTTATACTTAAGCAGAGTGTATTTATGCATAAAGATGTTTAGAAACTGGAGAAGTCTGGCCATAAAATTGCAGTGAGAGATTCTCGGACTGTCTCAGTGTCATTTCAGAAGCTTAGGTCATGTACCTGCTGCTTCTGACAGATGAGTTCCTCACTCCCGTGGCGGTCGACTTGGCCAGCTGCGCCACTGACATGCTCGCTCCTCTTTCATAGAGCTGAACACCACCCCTGGGAGCCTTCCTTCGACAACACCCATGTCTCCATCGGCCATGTCTGCTCAGAACCTGGTCATGGCGTCGTCAGGAGTGGGAGGAGATGCCAGTGTTACGCTGACCCTGGCCGACACTCAGGGCCTGCTCTCTGGAGGGCTGGACACGGTCACGCTCAACATCGCTTCTCAGGTAGGGGCTGCCCTTCCCTTTGTGGGGGACCATGGCATCCTTTAGTTTCTTCTTTCCTAACTGTGCATGCTGAACGTTGTTTCCCGAATTGTTTTTTTTTTTTTTTTCTGATTAAAATACAATGAATGTGTTAGATGCAGAAAGGAGAGAACAGGAAGGCTCAGATAAAACAGAAGAGACTATTTTTAAAATCCCCCTGCCCAGATGGAACCACGACTGACCTTTTCATGTCTTTCTATCCTTGTGAACCTTTACATGCAGACACATGACACACGTGTGAACATTTCTCTGGGAGTGAGCTTGTTTGTGTCAGGTGCTGTGGACTTCCCTCTTACACAGTGACTGCCTTCCCCATCAGTGATACTTTAATTCTTTTTACTTTTAAAGATTTGTATTAATTTTTTTAGAGAGAGCAAACAAGAACGGGGTGGTGGGGGGAGAAGCAGAGGGAGAGGGGCGTGTGGGTCCCTACCCGTGACCCCACGACCATGACCTGAGGTGAAGTCAAGAGCCGGATGCGTCACCGCCCGAGCCCCCCGGTGCCCCCACCTCCGTGGTCAGCAGTGGCTGTGTTTTCTAGTGGCGGTGCCGCACTGAGTTTTATGAGTTTGTGGAGGGCCGTTTTGAGTGCTCGGGGTTTTGCTAAGTAATGTAGGAATTCCCACACTCGCGGTGACTTACGGTCTCAGGCCACTGCGTGCCACGTGCGGGTTCGAAGGCTGCGCATGTTGGATACTGCGCTGAGCTGAGACACCGGACGCCTTTCAGAGTCTGATTAAAGAACCGTGATAGATTATAAGGAAGATGGATTACAGGACCCTGCCGCTCGTCCCCTTTTTATGCGCCTGTCCCTCTGTAAGCACGGCGGGATGTGCCGGGGTCGGGGCGGGGTTTGCTTGTGTGCACTTGGGCTTGCCGCACCCGACGAGGACTGACGAATGTGCGGTCCTGGGTGGGAGAGCTCGGCCCGTCACAGCCAGCCGCATGGGACTGTTTGGACTCTGGGTTTGGTTCTGCCGCTTGTGAGACAGGGATGTTTGCCCGCCCAGCCATGCGGAGGCCAGTTCCCGGGGTTTGTACCACTGCTCAGCTGTCCTGTGCCATTGCTGGAAGCCCCCCAGGGCCCCTGGCGGGAGTCAGATCCTGTGGGAGCACGTGCCGGGCTGCAGGGGTGCTGGAGGCCGGGGCCTGCTGCGGTGTCCTCCCCTGCATCTCTTCTGCCGCTGAAGGAAGGATCTCACTGAGTTCTTCACACAGTTTCCCATTTTCTTTCCGTCCTGCATTACTCAACACCTGCTTGTCAGGTCGTCATCACCCTTCTAGGTTATGAAAATTAGTATTACCTTTGGAAATGACAGTTGGAACCGTAGAGGCCATCCTGATGTCAGTGGTGTATTTTCCTTCTGGACGCAGGAGGCAGGGAGCCTGATTGGGGTTTGGTGGGTGCTATGTCCTTACGTCCCACCTGGGACTCTCGTGGTGACGACTGTAGACATAAGCTTATAGCCCAGCCCTGGGGCCACCTCGCTGCTGAGCAGCACGGGCAGGGTGCAGTCATCTGTGGGGTGTGGCTGCTGTCCTGTGGCCCGTGTCCGTCCGCTCTCAGACTCTGGTGGCTTCTCACTGGACTTTGTAACTATAGTAAAGAAGAAGTCATAACATAAAAATTCTTTAAGATACAAATTTTAGTGAAATTTAAAGCCTTTGAATAACTTTTGCAGGGGTGTGGGGGGGGTAAGGTTTGATCAGAAAAAGCCAGAGATGCATTTATTTCTACGATTATGGGTTTGTTTTCTGTTTGTTAAATCGTATCACTTTGAGGATTAATGATCGTTGCGGTGGCAGTGAAGGCTCAAGCAGGAGTTCTCGGTATTTGCCAGGTTCCATTTTTAAAGTCAGTAGGTGTTAGCTAGGGGTGTCTGTCCTCAGCACAGGGTAGCTGCTGGGCCCCCGGTCCTGCCCCCGCTCTGGCTCTTGGACGCCCCCCAAGCAGGTGCAGGACTGGGGCCGAGGAGGACGCTGCTGCCCTGAGGGGGTTCTCGGAGGGCGTCGGAACCAAGTGTTGCCGTGACAGGGTCCGCGCTGTGAGGAAGGGCCGTGTGTAGGGTGGACGCAGTGGCAGGCACGGCTTCTGGTCCCGCTGTGGCTCCATCAGCCGGCCCCCTGGTGATTCTGCTAGCAGGTTTCCCAAAGGGACGTGTGCATGTGCTGCTCTTGTGGTGAAAATCCTTCCATGGTCCCTGCTGCCTTCAGCACCAAGTCCACGTTTCTTCACGTGGCCAGAAAGAGTCTCTGCTCTCTGCTCACCGCCCCCCTCCTTCCTCCAGGGTCATAGCCAGCACAGAAAGCAGACCCCTTCCCCCGATCTGTGGGCCAGGGCCGTGGCAGGCCACGGCAGACCACGCCACACCATGGCAGGGAGTCCTCTGCGTCTGTGGTCCTCTCTGTCTTCGTCCCCAGCGCGGACGTCCCGGCTGGCTGGGCTTGAGAGCCGCGGAAGGGGCGGCGCTGAGGTCGGCCCAGTCAGACGGCAGCTTCCTCCTGTGCGCCTGTGGCTTACCTCACTTACCTGTCGTCTCTGGCTGACTTTTCCAAAATTACCAAGTCAAAAATTTAAACCCAAATTGATTCATTAGCATACTTGGTATAACAGTAGTATTAAAATCACCACTAGGAATCCTGTAGTTTTATTGGAATCTTTTCTGTTAGCTGCCAGACTTTAGTGGGGCTCACAATGACCTAATACTCTGAAAATTTGGAAAAGCCAGATCAAACCTGTCTCCGCTTTATGAGTGCGATTTTCCTAAATACAGTGAATTATTACACAAATAAATTATTACACAAATAAATACACATCTTATTGTCGAAAGGTTAATGGACATATATGGAAATGTTTCTATGTATGTAAATTATAAGAATTGTTTATGACCATAAAAATTTGATCTCAAGTCAAAGGCGCTTGTGAGAAATTAACCATTCTATAAATAATTGTTCAGTGCAGGCGAGAGTCAGTCACTAAGATGCCCAAATACCGAAGGGTTTAATAATTAATCCCTTCATGCGGTTCACAACATGTGCCCCCTGCACTCCGTGAGGAGGTGACATGAGAGCAGCCAGAGGGGGCCACGGGCAGAGGCAGCCGGCGAGCCCCCACGTCCGCACGGAAACTCACTCCGCGCTCGGACAGCCAGAGCTTCCCGGAAGCCCCTGAAGGGACCCAGGAGTGTGAGCCTGTGGATTATAAATGTTAAAAAGACGTGAAAATAACATACATTGATTGTGTACCATTTTTCCTTTTTTCTTTTTTAAGATTTTATTTATTTGTTGGAGAGAGAGAGCAAGAGTGCACTGAGCAGGGAGGAGAGGGAGAAGCAAATTCCGTTCGAGCAGGGAGCCCAGCGTGGGGCTCGATCCCAGGACTTGGGGACCGTGACCCGAGCCACAGGCCGATGCTTCACTGACGGAGCCGCAGGCCCCTGTCGTGTACCCTCTTCTGTGTTTTTGTTTCCTTACAAAGTCCGCAGGAGAAGGTGGCGTAAGAGCACAAAGGGGTGTGGTCTCGGTGGTCACTCCCGTGGCCGTGTCAGTGGCACACCCAAGGGGCGTGGTCGGGTCTGTGTCCGCACAGTGTATGGAGGGAAAACATTTCTGTGTGTCCGCAAGTCGTCGTCTTTCAAGCTTGCAAAGAGCCCAACTAGAGCAGAGTATTATGTGGGGTAAGTGATCCTTCGGATGCGCTATTTTACTTAGAAATATAACCTGCTGAAGTGGAAGATGAAATTCCGTGATGGACGGGCGCCTGCGTCGAACAGGAACTTTGTACTTGCTTTACTAGGGGAGTTACTGAAAGACAAATGGGTGAGTCATAAGGATTTCTTCTTCAACTATGAACTTAACATGAGTTTTTCTTCCCAAATTTTGAACTGTTGGTGGTAGGTGTGGGGATCAGGCCACTAAATCTGACAGTTTCATAAGGAAATGCATGCATTCCCTTAAAAATCTATTCAAGGGGGCCCTGGGTGGCCCCGTCGGTCAAGCGTCTGCCTTTAGTGCAGGTCGTGATGCCGGGGTCCGGGCATTGAGCCCATGTCAGGCTCCCTGCTCAGCGGGAAGCCTGCATCTCCCTCTGCTGCTCTCCCTGCTTGTGCTCTGTCACACTCTATCAAATAAAGAAGTAAAATCTTTTTTTTTTAAAGTATTATTTATTTATTTATTTGACAGAGATCACGAGTAGACAGAGAGGGAGAGGGAAGCAGGCTCCCCGCTGAGCAGAGAGCCCGATGCGGGGCTCCATCCCAGGACCCTGGGATCGTGACCTGAGCCGAAGGCAGAGGCTTTAACCCACGGAGCCACCCAGGCGCCCCCAAATAAATAAGTAAAATCTTAAAACAAAACCAAAAATAAGTATTCAAGAAAGCAAAGCGATTTTTCAGTTCTTGTTCTGAAAACAAGTAAGTGCATGGTTCCCGCCGGAAGTGCGTCCTGTGTTACGCGAATTCTCGTAGGTTTGGTGGGTTTTCTGTCTGTCTTTTACTGTACACGCAGTAACATCATTATCTGGCGTACGAGCACCCAGATGACGGGCCTTGTAGAAAGCATTTGAACCCCGTTTAGACACGAAGCGTGCCGGGAAGTCCGCATGTGACTTGGGCCGCAGGGAAGCTGGCAGGGGCCCTGCACAAGCAGTCGTGGGCTCCAGGGACTGGAGGGCCCGGCTGGGCTCCAAAGGCTTCCCGCTTCCTTCCTGTCCGCACCGCGGGTGCGCCTGGACCCTCTCGCTGAGCGCCGTGTCGCTGCAGTTGTGGCGCAGCTGTGCGGGGCGTGGGGTGATGGCAGCTGAGCGCGCCCCTGGCCAGATGATACAACAGGGAGACGCTGGCTGAGGCTGCCTTCCAGGGACGGGGCAGGGAGGCAGGTCGGCTGTCACACCGACTGTCGCCTGTGAGGGCGGCAAGCCTGGGTGAGGTTCGAGCGGCTTTTCCCAAACTTGGTTGCGCCTCAGGATCTCCGGGCTCACGCTGCGAGGGTGAGTCCGCAGCTGCGGGTGCGCCTGGGGTCTGCTCGTGACGGGCCCGGGTCCTGCTGCCCTCCGCCACGTGCACTTGGGGGTGAGAAGTCCTGTAACTTCCACCCCCGTGTGAACCAAAATACAGCCGAGCAGTAGATGCTCTGCCGGTGAGCCCCGAGGCCGAAGAAGGAGGGCTCGGAGAGCGGTCACTTCAGCAGATCCAAGTCCCCCCTTCCTTGGCTGCGGCGGACTGTTGAGCACGTACTTTACTAGACACCGAATTTAGATCAGGCGTGTGCACCAAGAGTACTTAGTATTAGCAATTCAAACACCAGTAATAAGCTAGTAAGGTACATTGTATGAAGAGTTTTTTTAAATTAAACTTTTTATTTTGAGTTGCGTGTTCGTTCATAGTCCGTTTTCAGAAACGATGCAGACAGATCTCATGTACCCCTTGACCCAGCTTCCCCAGGTCGTGGCGTCGTGCAGAGCTGTAGGTCGGATATCACAGCCAGGTATGGTCGTCGTCCCAGTCAAGACCCAGAACCTTCCGTCCCACACGCTGCCCCTTCCCCCGGCGTGGCTAGTCTAGTTCTCACTTCTGGAAGGTCGCCGTTTCCCCTCGATGGATCTGTGTAAGTGCAGCGCCTCGAAGGCCTTAGCTGTCCTCCTCAGAAGAGATGACTTTATTGAGCCAACAGTGGTTCTTGCGTGTATCAGAGTTTCTGGCTAGCAGTAGGGTTTGTCTTGCTTTGTAGAGTTAGGAAATGTGAATTTATTAATTTCGACTGACACCATCTTCCAAAGTTGGGTGTTCTGGTAAGAGCGCTGGCAGAGCCGGCGGCGGGTGAGGGCAGGAGTCGGAAGCGACGGGTACGGGAAGGCGGTGGTGCTCGGCTGACCTCCCACGTAAGGGGGATGGCGAACGTGAAGCTTTAGTGGTACGGGTAGGAACTTGCCAAAATGCGCCACATTCGTGTAAAAGACTTAGATAAAGGGAGATACCCAAAATGTCATTTCACTTTTCCTAAACGTGCGTGTGGAAACCAGAGAATCCAAATCAATTTAAAAAGCTCTTTTTCTCTAGAATCCATGATGCTCTCCTTGTAAATTTTTCCTCTGCTCCATGCTCTACCCTTGGCTCTGTGTCCCCATGTGCCAGAGGAAGGGTCTTTCCCAGGAGAAGTGGCCCTGACCATCCTTCAATGCCTTCTTAGTCCGTTTCTAACTGTCCGCGCCTGTTCCAGCCTTCTCTGCCCCATGGGACCCGGGCTTGCCCCAGAGACGTGAGGACACCCCTCCCCTGTGGCCGAGTGCCCTTCCTGACTCCGTGCCCCTCCGTCTGCCCATTCACACTGGCCCTCAGACCCTTGTGTTCCACGTGCGTGTCCGAGAGTCACTCTGATTTCGTAGGTGAACAAATTTGTGTGGCTTTCCATTTGAAGCCTGGGGTAGGGCCAGACGCCCCTCTGTGCATGCCCCGTCCTACCCCGTCCCTTCATTCTTTCTGTCCCAGGGCCACAGTCAGACTGGAGTTGGACTAGGACTCAAAGGCAAAGTTGTCCCTTTGTAAACAAGTAAGCGTTCTCCGCGTTGCAGCTTTATGGAGACACGCCGCATGTACCATAGCGCTCGCCCGTGTATTTAAAGTGTGGAACTTAATGGTCTTCAGTGTACTTACAGAGTTGAGCACCCCGACCACATCTAGTTTTGGAACATCTTATCACCCCAAAAAGAAACGTGGCACCGTTAGCGGCTAGCAGCCACTCCCCGTGCCCCCGACGACCAGCAGTCACCGCTGTGTCTGTAGACGCACCTGCTCTGAGCGCCTCACCTCGTGGAAGCCCAGCGCAGAGGGGCCTGCCTGGGCCGTGCACTCCCGTCCTTCTTCGGGCTGAATCGTTTTCCACTGTACAGATGCGCCTCGTTTGGGCCATCTGCCCCCCGGCTGCTGGCTGTCGGCCGGGTTCCCTTTCTGCGGCTGCTGTGGGCATTTGTGCGCGAGCACTCCGGGCCGCGCAGGTTTCATTTCTCTGGCGCACACGTGTGGGCGTGGGGTGCTGCGTCCCGTGGGACAGTGCCGTGGTGCGCTCTTCTGGGGACGTGTCCCCGTGTGGTCCCCAGGAGCTGCACCATCAGGCATCGTGTATGTTACCCCTGGGTTTGATAACGTCACGACTTCTAAACTAGTCCGTCCTTGCCAGGGCCAGCAGTTCCCAGCCTTACTCACGGACTCCTCGCTGTCGGGCCAAGGGGGAGCGGGGTCGCCGCAGGTCATCCTCGTGAGCCACACCCCACAGCCCTCCGCCGCTGCGTGTGAGGAAATCGCCTACCAGGTACGTCACACACCAGCATTCACACTTGGTCGCGGGTTGTCGGGGACACGGATTGGGAGGGGCTGGTCCCAGAGGGCTCAGGGCTGGGGGCCGCTCCTGGGGGGGGCCTTCTCAGGCCGAATGGGGGTGATGTGCGGGGGCTGCACCGCTCAGGGCCTGGGGGACAGCCTGTGTTGAACAGTGGGGACCGACTCCTTCGTTCCTCGATGTGCAGTTGGCCGGAGCCGGGGTTTTGTGCCGCAGAATAAGGTGCAGAAACAGTCGCGCGTGAGGCTGGTTTTACATGCGTGAACTCTCCTGGGCAGTGGACCGCAGCGGCCACTCCGTTCCTTCCAGGGCTTTTCTGGTAAAACCTCTGCTGACTCTTCGGGTCTGGTTGCGTTTTTTCCCTCTACACACACGTGTGTGCACGTGGCCCATTTGTCATTTGAGTAGTTTTTCCCTTAAAATGTATATTCTGAGGGTCTAAAACATTTAGGAAATGACGGTTCTGAATACGGGACAGTCTAACGATCACTGTCTCCTTACTCTCCTCTGAGTGACGGGGAAAGCGCAGGAAGTGAATAGCCACGGGGTCTGGGCAGCGTCCCGTCCCGTGCAGCTTGAGCAGACGCGTTTCAGGACAGTCCCTGGTCTTTCAGTGCACGAGGACCCCTTTTGTGTAAAGGCTGTAGAGCCGGGCAGCCCGGGCGTTTCCCCACCCGGGGCTCATCTGGCGGACGGTGAGTTTCTGTCTGGGGGCTCGGCACCCCGTGGCAGCTCAGTGGCGCTGGAAGGGTCCACTGGCCTTGCGGCGTGTCCGCTAGCGCAGCCCTGGGGGAGGCCCGCAGGCGCGCACGGGGGTCCTTGGGGCGGCGCTGGCTCTCGGCTGCCGCTGGGTCAGCACGCGCTTGGCGGTGTGTGGCCGGGAGCCCTCGCGTCTCCTCTGCTCTGGGGCTGTTCAGACGTTCTTTGATTCGCAAGAAATAGGCTTTTTGCACTGACCTGAACACACAGTCTGTTTCCATTGTTTCTTCACTTCACACGCACGGATGCTCACGTTAGACACTCGCACACCTGACAGACGTCACGGGACGATACCTCCTTTGTGGAAGGTGATGAGGCCACATCCGCGCACTTCTGATCTCTTGTTTTACTCCCGTTTTCCTTCCGTTATTTGTTTTATTATAGCGTAGACGGGTGACCTTAGCGCACCTTGTAGACATCTTTTGTTGTTAAGTCTTCTTTAAATTTTACCCATTTCTGTGTATTAGATTTTATGAAAAAGTACTTGATAAACTAGATAAAAATATTGACAAATCCCATCAGTTTTCATTATAATTACTTACAATTTTGTTTCACTCAATTGTCATGGAAGAGTTTTTATCTACAAAACTGAACTCTCATTTATAACACCGACACTCACCTGCTCTCTTTGGTTTCAGGGTGTTGGTGACGCCCCATGAAAATGACTTGGAACCTGGCTGGTTCTGATGCCCCATTTCGGGCAGCACCGTACTGCAAGCGAGAGGACTCGCCTCCCGCTAAGCGCTACTCGCGCCGCAGGCTGCTGAGAGCTCTCGCCCGAGCGGGAGCATTTGGGGGCCATGTCCTTTGTACTTGTGTCAGCTGTCACTGCTGCCCCCCAGAGCGCGTACGGAGTGCACGCCGCGTGCTGGCATTGCTCTGAGCGCCGCGCGGTTCCCCAGTATGGTTGTCAGTGAGGACACGGCACGGGGCGGCCACCAGCACAGCCGGCCCTGGAAGGTCACACACACGGAGCGCTGCTCAGAGGGCAAGAGTGGGTGGTCTGATCCGTTTGCCACCCCTGACGGCGCGCTGAGGGCCGGGCGTCTGCCATCGGCGTGTGTCCGTTGTCCTGTCATCTGTGCATTTGCTCACTCCGGCCACCGAGTGAGTTCCGGGGTTTCTGATCCGCTGCAGGTAGCTGACGTGTCGGCCGGCCTGGCGCAGGGCGGGCAGCCAGAGAAGGAGGGCCGGGCGCACCAGTGTCTGGAGTGTGGCCGCAGCTTCGCCTCGGCCGCCGCGCTGCTGCACCACAGCCGGGAGACGCACGGCCGGGAGCGCATCCACGTGTGTCCCGTGTGCAGGAAGGCCTTCAAGCGCGCCACACACCTCAAGGTACGTGCCGCCGTCCCCACGGGTTAGAGACGCTCGGTGTGGTCCGGGTCAGTGGACGTCATGAGTCTTGCTCGCAACAAGGAAAGAGTTAACAGATTTCCCCTTTTTGGAGGAAACGGTCAGTGAGAGTTTAGTGTTAGCAGATCTGCTGGTTACGTGTTCATGCGCAGTTCCGAGTCCGGGTCTAATAGGACTTAAGCTGACACTGAGATGCCGTGTCTCACCGAGCAGAGCCGAAGATAGTAAGAAGTCTGCCAGCACCTACTGGCCGGGCTGTGGGGAAGCAGGAACTCCCCTCTTCGTGGGGGACCCACACTTGACACGTCTTTTGGCAGGGGAACGGGGAACCCCTCAGCAGCTGGCTCTGCGTCCACCCTGAGAATGGGGTCCGCGTGCCAGGAGAAGGGCTGCGTGAACTCTGGGACATGTGCACATGTGGGGGGAGGAGGAGGAAGGGCTCTGGGACTTGATGTCCAGGGCTGCACTCAGGTGGCATGCCGTGGTGTGGGGCGCGTACCCCGTCCGGCGACTGCCAGCCAGTATTCTTGTTACCAGAAGTGGCCGCATCTGACCACTGGTTAGTCCACCAGGGATCCCAGCCTTCTGCTGCACAGTGACCCCGGACATCTGCCCTCCAGACCCTCAGCTCGTCCGTGTGCCTTGTCTCTTCCTCTGCTGTGTTTTCTGGCAGCTGCCCTCGACCTCCCTCACCCACCCCGTAGCCCCATCTAGTCATGGGAAGCGCCGCACACAGTTCTCAGGCGAGGAACATCTTCCCAAATAGCAGACCATGTCCCACTCACCGTCAAGGTCATTGGCAACAAGGAAGGGCAGAGGCCCTGCGGAGCCGCACAGCCGGTACCCTGGGCTGTCAGGGGGCCCCCCCCGGCCCCCACTGCATCCCCGAGGGCACTTATCCCAGACGGGCCTCGGGTTGTCCTTGCTGCTCCGATGGGTCCCCGCGGCCGCGTCGCAGGTCTGTCGGGAGCCGCCATGATCTCAGGCTTCCCCTCCGTGTGGTCCGCGGCAGGAGCACGTGCAGACGCATCAGGCTGGCCCTTCCCTGAGCTCCCAGAAGCCGCGAGTGTTCAAGTGTGACACCTGTGAGAAGGCGTTCGCCAAGCCAAGCCAGCTGGAGCGGCACAGCCGCATCCACACAGGTAACCACGAGCCGCGGGCTTCCGGGTCGGGGCTCCGGAGGCTGGTGAGGAAATGGGACTCGGCGGAATGCGCCATTGGTGAAGCGGGGAACGCAGTGTATCACCCTTGTTTGTCGTCAGCTCTTCATGCTCACTTCTTAGTAAAAGTCCTGTGGCTTCCCTGGCGACCATGGGAAATAGAACCGCCAGGGGCTGCCGTGGCCTCTGGGGACGTCCCCCCGACCCTGGGCTCCTGCTCCTGCTGCTGCGGGGGACGCCATTGTCGCTCCTCCTCTCAGGGCTTCAGGCTGTTCTTTGCTGACTTCCTGTCGCCGCCTCCACCTGCCCCGGTCTGTTGTCCCAGAGGGAAGACCAGCCCTGACACCAGCACTGGGGCACGAGTTCCCATCTCTCGGCCTCTTGGCCCATTTCCTGACAGCTCACTTGCGTCCTCTGCCTCTGCCAGCCCATGAGGCGCCTGTGGCTCACGCGGAAACACCACCGTCCCAGGGCCCCGTCTGCTGCAGCCTGTCCTCTCAGGACTGACGGCAGGACCTGCGTTTGCACAGAGCCAGGCAGAAACCCCGGGTGTCTGGCAGACAGACCCCTCTCATTCCCCTCTGAGCTCCTCCAGGTGGGATCCCGGTGTCCTGGGAGCCGTCCCGCCCAGGGCCGCACACCTCTGACCGCGGCACCTGGCCCTGGGAAGCCTGGGGGTCCCACACTCACCGTCCGGAGTCCCGACTCTGCTCCCTGAGCGCCCTCTCTGCTGGTGCCTCTGCCCAGCCCCTGTCTCCCTTGGCTGGGTCATCTCTGATCGGCCTGCAGGTGTCAGCTTGGACACCCCTCCCCAGGAGGCCTCTGTGCCCCTCCCTGTCCCTGGCCAGCCCACAGGCCTCCTTGGATATCCAGCAGGTGCTCCCGTCAGCGTCCTTCCCCGGCGTTCCCAGTGACGTCCCTGCTGGTCCGCACAGACTGGCACCGACCAGGTGATCAGCGAAACAAATATTGAGTGAAAGATGGTGCCGTTGCCCTTCTACTGCGTCTGCGCAAAAGGACGGCTTTAGGGGACGGGGACTGCCGTTGGCCTGCTAGCATGAGCTAGGTGCTTCCGAAGGTTTGGAGAAACCTGCTGAGGGTGTGTTGCTGTGGGGCCTGCTTCTGGGGCCGGGTGCTCCTGCACCCCCCAGCACGCCCGCCGCCTTCACGCCAGCCATGGCCCTGGGCAGCCTCGGGTCCCTGCAGCTCCCTTCTGCCTCTGGCCACAGAACCCTCTTCTTTGAGGGCGCAGACCTGGCCCCCGCCACGGTACTCTCCCTGTGACTCAGTCCAGGTCACCTGACTCGAGGCATAGCCACCTCTGTGACCTCCTCATCCTTCGGGCATGTGACCCCCTCCCATGCCCAGTCCTGGGGATTAGGGCCAGAAAGCTTCGGGCCGCTTTAGGTCTCTGGCTGGCATGGGGAGTGGGGTGGGTAGCCCTCCTGTGTCTTGGCCACTGGGGGAGAGGGACAGACTTGGAGTGATGGAGGGTGACACCTGGGGACTGGAGCAGCCACGTGGGCCTTCATGCCAACACGGGGTCCAGGGAGGCCATGCAGGGAAAGGGGACAGACACCTGGCCACAAGGTAGCCATGCTGATGGGACAGAACCTTCTAAGCCTAGTGGAAGGGCTTGTGGCCCCAGGGGCTGGCATCGGGTGAGTGTGGGTGGAGTCAGGGACCACGAGGGGGTGGGACTGCGGGCCCGGGAGTGGGCGGCAGGGTGCAGGGTGGGGTGGCACAGGAGCCAGGCTTTTTCCCAGAGTCAACGAGCCTGAGTCCCTTCTACCTCTCCGTTTCTGTATTAACGTCGGAGCAGTTAGAATGACATTTAAAAAGTGCTGGGTCAGTTACACGTTACGTGAAGTGGATGTGACAGTCTCCTGCACTTCGTGTGCTGCTGCCTGGCCGCCCCCACTGTTCGGAACACTTGGTTTAACCGTTCGTGCTCTGCTTCTGTGTCCGGATGCTCCTGGGAGTCGGAGGAGCTTTTGATGACGTTTTGTCCCGTGCCGCACCGAGGGGCAGAGTTGCTAGAAGCCGTGCGCTCGTCCGAGGGGCGGGAGGGCTGGGGACCCTGGGTCCGTGCTCAGAGCGTCCCGCCCTGTGCGGTGCCCGCGGGAGATGCCGACGGCCCGTGTTTCCCGCAGGAGAGCGGCCGTTCCACTGCAGCCTGTGCGAGAAGGCCTTCAACCAGAAGAGCGCGCTGCAGGTGCACATGAAGAAGCACACGGGCGAGAGGCCCTACAAGTGTGACTACTGCGTCATGGGCTTCACACAGAAGAGCAACATGAAGCTGCACATGAAGCGGGCGCACAGCTACACGGGTGAGGTGGCGACCAGGCCCCCCGCGGATGCCCCATGGGGCTCCGAGCCTGCAGGGTGGGCAGCGGTCAGGGTGCACATGGTGGGGGGGTCTGGCAGCGCATGGCGGGGAGGTGGGGGTCCGGGTGCTTCACGGGGGGGGCGGCTTGTGTACAGTGGGGGTCCGAGTGCACGTGGCAGCGGGGTGGGGTCCGCGTGCACACAGCGGGGGATCAGCGTGCACGCGGTGGGGGGGTCTGGGCACGCTTGGCGGGGGTGGGGTCCAGGTGCAGTTAGTGGAGGTTCTGGGTGCAGACGGTGGGGGGTCCGGGTACACGTGGAGCGGGGGATGGGGTCCTCGTGCGCTTGGTGGGGTGTCCGAATGCGCGTGGGCCCTCAAAGCAGGCATGCGAGGTGGGTGTGTCCACTGGGTGCCCACTCAAACGCCGGTGCCACCCGAGGGGGTGGATCAGGCTGCGAGGCCCCGGAGCACCTCCCTGCCATTCCTCTGGGTCCCACCCGGACGAGCTGCGGTGCGGGGCTGGGGTGCGCTGGCTGCGGTGTGGTGGGCCCGGGCTGGTTCAGTGTGGAGTTGGCACGGCGCTCAGGACAGCGGGATCCGTGAGTGAGACGGGGCGGCCGGGGAGGGCTCAGACGCTGTGTGCCCCGCGGACCTCTGCTCTCACGTCTACGTCCCAGTGCGTCTTGCTTTGCTTCCTGTTTAGAGTTCGTGCCTATTGCACCGCTGTCATTTATGACTGACCGCTTGGCACGGACCTCGTGGTGACGTAGCCGTGACCGCGCGAGCTGCCTAGCAAGGGCTGTTTCTGCACGTTCAGGAACGGGAATTGCCCCCGATGTAGTTCATCTGCAGCTCGAGTGCTTTCTCCTGTGGGGCGGATCGCAAATCAGTTTAGAAATCTCGTCTCAGTCTAAGTTGTCTTTACTCCATCGTGAGTCCCTGCACGCTGCCGTGTGTCTGACAGTCTGCCTGCTGTCTGTCCGTCTGTGCCGCAGGAAACCTGCAGGAGCCCGTCGTCCAGCAGGAGCACGGTGCCGAGGAGCTGGGCCGGACCCTCCATCTGGAGGAGGTGGTCCAGGAGTCCGCGAGCGAGTGGCAGGCCCTGGCCAACGTGTTCTGACCCGGCCCACCCCCGCCACCAAAGCCGTTTCTGAAGTTAAATGTTGCGGAGAACGGAGCACTTGGAATTTCTTCTTGGAAGCTTCGGGTGTTAAGAAATGTTACCATGCTAGGTTTTTAGCTGTAAAATTATCTCAAGAATCATTGTCTTCAGAGACTGATAGGAACAACTGAGAGCAGTGTCAGCCCGTTGTTGTCGTTTGTGTACAAATCACTGAACTCAGGTACAACCCTAGGCAGTTCTACCTTCCCGTTGCGGCCAGTGCCTCCAGTTCCAAAGAGCAAACTGGGTCTCACTGTCCCGTGCCGTGGCCTCTCTGTGTTAGCGGAGACGAACGTTAACATGGAACACGCAAGATAGATTTTCCTTTGTGCTTTCTGTTGTAAGAAGCGTAGCTTATAAAGCAAACGTAAAATCGGCGCATGAGGTTCAGAGAAACGTTAGAACACGCAGGGAAGTGTTTTCCATTTTCTTTCTCTGTGTATTTTGAAATTAAGAAACAGATTCTTTTTAGTGTACCGTAAGTTACTAGCATACGGAGAGATGGCTGGCCCGTTCTCTCCGCGTTACGATTCTCGGACTATCAGCTACAAGGATGCAGCGTCGGGGCCCAGACGGCGGAGGGGGCATGAACGGGGATGAACGTGTCCTCGCGGGATGGGGCGGGGCCGCACGTGCTGCCCGAGTCCACCTTCGGGGCCGCGGGTTACGTGACTGCAGAAAGCACAAGCCATATGTCGCACGCAGGCGAGGGCAGGACCGTGTCCTCGGAGTGGAGGGAGCGTGGTCCCGTCCCCCGCGGCGCGGAGCGGCGTGTCGGTGGGTTAGAGCTGCCGCGCTCCTCTCCTCACGCGTGGGCAGGTGTGTCGTCTAATTCAGGGAACTCTCACTGTCATCAATGGTGCCACATTGAACACGTCCCAAACCAAATCCCACCCCGAGCCGGGGCAGAGTGCGCGTTGCTCCTACAGCATTCCAAAGACGGAAGGTTCTTTACTTCATGTGAATTTCTCCTTCAGAATTATTTATATGTTCTATATATAAATACACATGTACATAGACAGATATATGGGCCTCTGTGTGGCTGAACGGTATATTTTGTAAATAGCAGCGCTCGTCCTCACGGCAGAGAGAGCGCGTCAGAGTCCGACTCCCCACGAGCACGGCAGGCCCGAGCTGTGCTCATCAGAGTCATAAATGGGTACCTTGTTCACTGCAACATGAAGCTGGGCTTGTTTTGCTTTTGTTTTTCTCTTGAAAAATAATTGCCTTTATTTTGTCTCATGGCCTCCCTGGTTTCAGAAGAGAGCAGTTTTATTATAAATATGGACTTTGTATATTAAGAGAGGAGCTCATTTCAGATTCCTGAAGAAAGAGACATTTTCACTGTTATTTTTCAAAGGGCATCTTTTGATTTTGTTGTTCACTTGTTGGCGTATGTACATAAGTCATATTGATGATGATATAAAAACTTTGGTTATGTGAAAATATTTAAGTCAGAAAACTGTTAAATAATATTACTTTTTTTTTCAAACTGCTTTGTGTATTGTATATTTTTTTAAGGAAAAAAAAAGCCTTATTTGACTTATTCTTGTGATACTGGACTTACTATATATCCTGAGGTTTTCCTTGGATGTCAGTGTGTAGCTGGCTGTAGTCCGTATAGTCCGAATAATTGTAATTGTGCCAGAGTTTTAAAGATTCTGCTTTTAATGCACTTTTCTTTTATAATTTTGTATTAAAATATTTTAGAAATGTTGATTAATTTTGGTGAACAGATATCTCCAAAGTTGAAATTATTGGAATTTAAAAAACTTTGTTCTTGCTAGGTTATTTATTTTGGTTGTAGCATTAAATGTCATCTCTCAGGACAAGTCTCTAAAAGGGGTTTATTTAATTCCTAATTGTACAGAAAGCATAGTTCAGCGAACTGTATTGGCCAGCTGCCTGTTTAAGTAAGGCCTTACCAGGTGAATCTAAACCTACTTTTATTTTCGTCAAAGAAAAAAAGAAGATCTATCAATGATACCATTCTGTGAGTTTTCTCAATTATTAACTATTAGCAGGCGAACACAAGACATTAATATATTATTTTTATTTACTTCCTAATTAAAAAAGCTGCTTCTTTGCAAAACATTCCTTGAAATACAAGGTTTTGTAAAGACATAATTTCACTTGAACCTTTGGTGGAGTACAGGTTGATCTTTGTATTTTACTGGTTGATAAATGTCTTCTGACGAGATTTCTAGCCTCCTGCATAACCAGGGTTTTGAGAATAGATAACTGTATTTTTAGAAATATCTCATCATAGCATATCTGCTTTGGAATAACAATAAATAAAAAATGAAGTTAGGAAGTGTGATCAATTTTTTTTTCTTTTAAAATATTTACTATATAATAGCTTGGCACATGGATTAATTTCAAGTTCAGATAATGTTTTAACAGAGCAGGATTTCAATGGTATTTTCCCTTGCCTCCGTGAAGTCTAGACAATGAAAACTTGCAAGGTCTAGCTGAAGAGCTTCAAAGTTAAAAAGTCAGGATACGGGTCAGTGACAGGCACGCCGTCCCTGTGAGCTGCCAGCGTCATTCCTTTTCTCGGTCACCTGCGTGACTGGCCCCGGCGAGCAAGGCCTCTCCAAAGTTCACGACTGTCTTTAAGCTTGTGGTCAGCTGCCCGTGAAGCATTCCCGTGGGCGGAGGGGGAGAGCCACCTTTGCCCACACACTCAGCTTAAAACCCGGGTAGAGTTCTCGGGATGTGGCGGTAGCGGGGGACCTGCCGGGTCGAGTCCGCTGGAGGACGCAGAAGCGGTCCTGTTTTCCCAGAGCGGTGGTCGGTGCACACAAACACACCTCTTCAACAGTGTAGTGCGAGATGCCCCAACCCTGAGCTCTCCCATGGCTCCGCTGACCCTTCGGTGCGTGGCCGGGGGTGGACAGGGCAGACCCCTCGAGGAGCGGAGGCACCTGCCCGCGGGGCAGAGCCGCGTGGGCCCGTCAGGCCGCTCATTACCCTCTGACGAGGTGGGGCCGATGGGCCGTGAGCCTCTGTCCCCATGAGCAATTCCCTCCATCCCATCAGGTTCGTCTTTCGTCCGAGCGCAGCACTGCCCTGGGCATCACGTCCCCCACTCCGTGTCTTGCGCTGCCCCGCCCACTGTCGCTCGTAAGCAAACGTGAGTCCGAGCTTCGTGGGCAGGCCTCTGTTCTCTGGCCTCTTGGAAGGACTCGTGGAACATCTGCGCGCTAGAGCCACACGCGCCGGTCCGGGTGCGAGAGGTTTTTACAAGTTCTTCCCACGGACTTTCCTCTCGGCCGAGAAATACGTGTAACTCACCAAGATACACGTTTTTAACATCAAGTGATCATGCGGATTTATGTCAGTCACATGTTTTTAAGAAAATAAGTAAGACATATAGGACCGCTTTCTGGGTATTATTTTTAGAGACCTCATCTGCTTGCCTTTTGCCTGTTTTTTTCCCCAGAAGTTTATTTCAGAGTCAATATTGTACCCCACCCCACCCCAAGGGTAAATCATTACTAATCTGTTCTTTTTCTCAGGTCTGCCGTGTGACGTGCGGTGGACATGGGAGTGCGGAAGTGGCACCGTGCACTCGTCTAGACTAATTCTCTTTTTGCCACTTAGTCTCTATTCACCCGACGTCAGTGTTTTGGATTTTTTAGACTAGAATTTCAGAAGTGCTACGTTTGCATTTGGGGACTCGACATCTTTACCTTACTCTAAGGAAATCAGCATTTAAAAATCTAGTTGCTGGCGCCTGGGTGACTCAGTGGGTTAAGCCTCCACCTTTGGCTCAGGTCATGATCCCAGGGTCCTGGGATCGAGCCCCACATCGGGCTCTCTGCTCAGCAGGGAGCCTGCTTCCCCCTCTCTCTCTGCCTGTCGCTGCCTGCTTGTGATCTGTCAAATAAATAAATTAAAAAAAAAAAAAAACCTAGTTGCACCTTTACTGATTAAACGGTGGGGGCAGGCAGAATTTTTGTCAAGATTCGAAGTCCCATGTCTGTCTTCTTCGCGTCGGGAAGGTTCGTAAGCCTAGCGTCCTGCATTTGTCACCGTCGACCCAGTGTGAGCAGGGCCTCCCTCGGGCACACACACGCACGGAGGAGCACACGCTGCCCGCCTCGGCCGTCGGCCCTGCCCGGACAGCCACTCCGTAGTTCCTCATCCAGATAACGAGTGAAGTATTTAAAGCAGTAAAGGTCAAGATCACGTGGCAGGAGCCGTAGGCGGTAACCAGAAAAGATTTTGCTCTTTAATCTTTTTTACGAGTAATGCTTTACAGCGTGAAGACTTCAGTATTAAATCAGGATTTGTAATCTGACAGGTTCTACGTGATGTAGTGATTCCTTCCCGATTCACCACGAAAGAGAACTTTGATAATCAGCTTTTTTTTCTATTTACAAAAGAATTCTTTTTTTATCCTCAAAATTGTTTCATGGTCTATTTATACATGATGCTATATCTTGAATCCCATTTTGTGTTAGAAATGGATCGTTATGCCCAAAGCCAGTGTGCTGGCTTTAAGAATAATAAAAGTAGTTTTTGTATTATTTTAAAACTCCTGTATATTTACTTCTTGGGTTTGGGGTGAGTTAGAACTGTTTTCTGTAGGTAACATTTTCAGCAAGGGTTAACCCAACACAGTGGTGCCGAATTCACAGTAAACTGGGACCCATCGGGCTTGGAGAGCATGTGTCTTATTTTCTGTACTTGGGGATAATTGTCCATTCCTGTCACTTACAAGGTATTTGAGAGTGACTTGCTGTGAAAGTCGATCCCAGTGTCAGTGTGTCCGCTCATGGGACGTGGGATCTTGGACTTCCCCAGAAATGCCAGTGGAGTTGGGCCACATTATAGCATCTAATCCTCCTTACAGACATATTTCCGAACTTTTAGAAGTCTGAAATTTATGGAGCCGTGTCCTGTTGAATTAACACATGGAGGGTATCTTGTCCTTTGTCTACTTTATTCCTAGCACAAAAGCAGGTACTCCATACATTTTTGGACTGAACTACCTAAAATGATTTTTTTCCCCCTTGCACTTTGCTCAGAGGGAATGGTGAGAAATTGTTCGCTATGTCTGTTGCTTGTTTGGAGGAGGAATATGGCGCAAAGAAAGTTTTAAAATTGGTGGGTGGGTGGGTTTTTCAGACAGAATGATCAGATTACGGAAACATTTTTTCTTTAAAGCGGATTGCCGGATTGCCGGATTGCCGCGACCCTTTACAGAACTTCTCCAGATGAGACTTTCTGGCGTGCTTAATTCTGGTGATGTAAGCACGTTTGCTAATAAGCATGAAGGCATGAGTTTGCGAAGCGTGGGGGATAGGCTGACCCGGGACCTCGGCTCAGAACAGCCCTGGCGCTGATGGCTGGCTGTCGGGGGCCACTCAGTTAACTTCTCTGGGCCTGTCCCCTTGTCTGTAAAATGAGTCGACTAAATCCCTTCCTTCCACTCGTAATACGAGCGGGAACGTCAGGA